TTGCAGCATATATCGCTCAAATCCTTAGCATAAATAATAAATAGATAAATTAATCGAACCACCACAAATTTTCAAAAAATCTAGATCTTATTTTTCTTATTTCAAATTTTAAATTTTCAACTCTATTTATACCTTATAATTTTGAGATCATATAATGAATATTAAATTCGTAAAAATCCAAGGATTTGATAAACTAATTAAGGGAATATCCCTTCATATTGATCCCAAATCATCTATATATATATATATATATATAACGATTTACCCCTAACTAACGAACTTAATTTCAATAATCACTTTTGTTTGAGAGAAAAACTGCGCATAAATACAAACCAAACACGAACCAGAAATTTTAGTATCGCGAGCGAGTCCTCTTCCGGCACTAAATCCTGGGGAATTTAGTAGCTTTACGAGATATCGGGGTATTAGCAAATCTTACTAATTTTAAAGAATCATTCTCGCGATATAAAATTTCTCTCAATTTTTGGCGGAGGCTCCAAGCCATAATGTATTGAATGATAATAAGTATCAATCGTATATCAGGGTTCGTATCCGGGTTCGCGATTCGTGTCCGCGTTCGTGTTCGGTTCGTATCCAGTTCATGCCCGGTTCGTTTTCAGGTTCGTATTTTGAGACCAGTATTGCCTTCTGAAACGCCTGAAGCGAATTCTTAGCTATTCGTGAGCGTCAAGAAATAATATGGTTTCCAGCAGCTCGCACCGCGATGTGCAGAAAATTCAGCAAGAAGCTAGGCCGTCGAAAATTTTGCCGGTGGACTTCCACCATTTCTGGATGGACGTCCTACTCAGCCTTCAGGTGGATAACGGCGGATATCACAGCTCAGTCCCCGCTTTGCAAAGTCTTCGCATGAATACTTACGCACCCACACCGCGGCACCCTGCACCCTAAACCCATGTCGACAGCCACTTGTCAGGCCATGAAGCTAAGTGACCGAGCCACCAGGCTTCAGACGGCACATGCTACCAACTGGCTTAGACATGGCGGTGCAGTTTTGAGCTTGTGATCGGATGTAATTAGCTGAAGCTTGGGGTGATGCTCAGAAATTTGCGCCTACAAGTTCAATAACTCTTTGGGCTAAGCATAGTCAATACAACTATAATATGGTGTCTGAGAAAGGATATTCTTACGAACAATTCGCACCCCTGTAGTAGAGTAGAAGAACCAAACTCCGCGGCTCCACACAAACACGAATAACTCATGCTCGGGCCAGCGCACAGGGTGAACTCCTCACCAAGGGATATCCTGAACATCGAGAAGACCGGCGATCATGGTAATGAAGCTGAGGATGATGATGCATCTGATGAAATGGTAGTGACGACGATGATGGTGGAGAAGACGACGACGATGGAGACGAATCGTTTTGTTTCGATGATGACGATAACGATGACTTTGACGATGAAGGATGACAATGACGATGATGATAATGATGATGGCGATGACAATGGCTGTGAAGACTGTCGTAAAGGCGATGGTGATACAGAAGACAAAGAAGAAGATTATGATGATGGCGATGTGGGACATGAATGCGACAACGAGGTTTGTTAGTGTGGGATGAAGACGGCAGAAATGATCGCACCGAACGCAGGGCTGCCATATTAAGCTCGTTAGCATCATCTTTGACATGTATGGTCTGCTCGTATTCGCCGGCTTGGCACAACTTCGGCTGCTACCAATCCGGGTACTGCAAGTGGTTGTTCTGTCTTCCAGGCTCCTTGAAGCCTTGCAAGCTTTTTGTAGCTCGGCGGACGGGGGTCGCTTATCTACACTGCCAAAAAACCAGATGTGGCAGGATGTGGGTTGTCTGTCATCTGCTACCACTATGCGGAAAAGAAGAGGAGGCACCCGACGGAAAACCGATGCTCAACACCGAAAAACGATAACCATACTGGCATTGCGAGCGCTGCTGCGACTTATGACCCCAGGCACGGTAAAGATCCTCGCAGCTCGCTATGCATCCTTAAACCCTGTGATTCTGGGTTGAGGCACCTCGGTTTCACAAGGCTAGGATTAAGTACCCTATACCCTGAAGCCTAATCGGGCCTAGTACCTCAACCCCACCCCCTAATCCTACACCCTTGAAAAGGAAGATGAATCGAAATTGCATGTTCTTGCGAAGCACTTGAACACCCTAAACCGTCAGCATCCCTAGCCACCAGCCCCCCAATCCCCGAAGCCCAACCAGCCAGCCCACAGCCCCCATACCCGCAACAGTTTTTAATACAAGACACCACTAAATCCTGATCCCTAAGGCATCCGTCCTCGCGGGACCAGATGTTGACGAAGCGGCCGGTATCTGCAGTCCCGTAAGCATTAATCCTTAGGAGACCGCACGGGTTTAGGGCTTGGGGTTTAGGGCTGGGGGTTTGGGGTTTAGCGGCTTTTAGGGTTTAGGGTTAACTAAAGGTTTAGGGTTTAGGCATGCTGTGCGGAGTGTACCCTACCGGTAAGGCTCTAATGCTAATGGAAACGAGTGCTTCTTCAACTATTTCAGGTTCAATGGCCCTGGCTTTCGGTATAGATCGTACGCAGCCAACAATTGATTTTGATGTGCTAAGGCTACTGCCACGTGGGCCGAAATAACATACTGCATGCAGCCTTGTGAAATTTCCGCAGCGGCACTCAACATAGACTTTCTAGCATCGATACTTACTACATTGTAGTTTTCGTTTACAGTGAACATGCGAACAAAAAAAATGCACGCACCAAAACTCTATTCTGGCTATGAAAGGCACTGTAGAGACGTCAAAAGCTGCTACGATGAGACTACCAGAAGCCTTGCCTTAGTAGTCAGGGATTCAGGGTTCTAGTTGAGGTCTTGGAGTGTAGCGTTTTACTGTTTCGGATTGGGGTTAAGACTGTTGCGTTTTTGAGGGTTGTTGTGATCATGGTGTGGGTTTACGGTTTACGGTTGCCGGCAAAAAACCGCCTACCAGTTACGGCAAGGATGAGGAAGAACACGGAACAAATGCTATCAATTTTACGCGCTCCATTCAGTCGGGCCCCTCTTCAATTGATCATTCAGCCCTCTGTAAAAATTCTTTAATCATTTAGACATACTTCTAAACCGATAAGGGCCCCACGGGAAAGACTGTCAAACAGAAGACGAAAGCCTTGAGTGAGGAACCCAAGCATTCCGAAACTTGGCTCGAGCCAGGCGTCAGCTCCAACATGCGGTCTGCCGTCTCCTCGTCGGGGAAATGGTTTGGGATGACGGATTAGGCTTTGGGATTAGGGTGCACCGCCTGGTGCTGTTAATGCTGTTATCTTTGAGCTCAACCATAACCCTTGAACCGTAACATAAAGCCCAAACCCTTGTACAGTAAGTGCAAACATACGTTAGCGGTAAGCCCTAAATCAAAACCCCTCAACCACAACCCTCTACCCTGGAAGCGTAAACCCTGACCTACGCTGTAAACCTAAACCCTAAACCCCGAAGGGCCCAACCCCCAGTAGAGTTTGTCCTTTGGCGTTCGCAGCTCGCTGTAAGGGTTCCCTTTCCTGGGCTGCTCTTGCAGGAGCATGCGCGACCAAGACGAGCAACTAATTTTTACCAACAAACATTTTACCACAGTTCGAGGTCATATTGAAAAACGGCCCAGTCTCAGGTAGGGTTTTGCCAAATCTGTGTCCACCATCTGCGGGTAGAGCCTGAGCTGTTGCCGCAAGATTGGAGCTTTGGGGCGCGAGATTGGGGCTGCCATGGTTATAGGTTTTAGGGCTTAAAATTTTGGGGTTTCAAAAGAGGAGTTTGGGGATCAAGGCTTCGACGCTTCAGTCACACGCTTAGGGTTGGGGTCATCTAGGGGCCTTAGAATTTCGCGCCGACGACACCAGGCGCCTATGCAAGATCGCGTGATGCAGCCGAAGCACAAACTACATGCCAGGGCCGAGGGATTTGTCAATGCAATCTTGTAGCTGGTTTTGGCCGAGCGGCCGAAACAAAGAAAAACAGTTTTTCACCGCGCGCTTGCAATGATTATATGTAGGGTTGGGCATTGAAACACGTTTTCATCTGCGGCAGCACAGCCGCAGTCGAAGTGGGGCGCACTGAATTGGTGTGCCTCTCCGTGCCCCTGCAACCTTCTCGAAGGCTTGCCGAACGAAGATTTTCAGTGCGAGAGCTGGACCAGTGCCCCGGGAACAGGGTCACGACAAGGTCTCCACCTGGGCCGTCTGCTTCAGACCAGGTCTTGTCATCCTTGGCATGCCTTTTCACCGATCTCTCCATCGCCGGTCTCCGGTTGCTGAACTAGACTCACTAGACCCTGTAGAGCTCTTCCAATGGAGGGCGCAACACCGTCTTCGGGTCGTCTGCAACGTCAGCTGCGTCGCTCCCGCAGGGCAAAACTGGAAAGAACCCGACGCCCAAATCGAAAGAACCCAACGGCCAACTCGAAAGAACCCAGCCTATATAGTTCGAAAGAGTCAACTGCACCCGAGTCCTCCACTTGGTTTTGAAATCAACAAGGGCCGAAGCCCACCTGGACCTTGCTGCTCCTGGCGGATGTCGATGTTGACGACCGCCTTCCGAATCTCCTCGGTCTTGCGGGTGCACCAGCAGAGGAGCTTCGTCGGGAACAGGGCCAAGAAGGGCATAGCCAACCACAGTCGCAAACGCTTGACATGGTTTCGCCGCGCGCGGCGACGAGACCTGGCTTTTTTGGAAAGAACACCACAAGAGTTGTGATCCTCTTCTTCGGCAGCCGCCGCTCCAAACTCGCCTTGCTGGTGTTCACAATCCACAGTTTAACCGTGGAGCGAAGCCTGCCGGAATGCCCCAGGAAGCAAACCGTGCCTGTGCTCTCTGCAGGAGGTGAGTGCGAATCCTCGTGGCGATCGAAGTCATCTTCACGTCTGTGGTGCACCCATGCTTGCCCCTCCACACAACTCTCCCGGACAACATGCACCCCTGCAACCACACGTAGCCGTGCTGCAGCCGGGCTTGAAGTGTGAGATTGCCGACTTCGGCACCTGGGAGACCTGTTCCATCCAATCTCGCATTCGCCGACTCTGCAAGCACACAGCTCGGGGCCAAAAAGATTTGGCCAGGGCAACCCAGATCTTGAGTGCCGATGTTAGAAGGGAGCGGCTTGCCATTAGCCTTCTTGTTCGATGCCTCACGTCCAAATTAAAACAACATCCCACAACTGCCAAGAACCCAAACTCAAACAACCTTCTTGTTCTTTGCACACCAGTCGATGAACCAGGCGATGAACAGGGTTTGGAGGTATTGCTCCGTGATGTCTAAGTGGTACTTAAAGCTGGCATTCAAGACGTCGAAAGTTTCGTCCACGTGACGAAGATCAAAACACCGTAAACACCGGTCGAACTAGAGTTTCACATGGACACATCCTCCACACACGCACCCTCCATCCGCCAGTCAGTTTCGGTCCTCCTCCAAATGGAGGCCATGTGACCGGACCTCGTCACAGGAAGCTTGTTTGAAGGTCCGCTTCGTGTGTGGAACCTCGGGTTCCTGAATCGCCCCGTCCGCCGGAGCACCATTGTCCGCCAGCATGACAACAGGCCCATCGTCCTCTGCCAGCACGTCTTCCTCATCGTCCTGCTCGTCGCCACCCTCCATGTCCACATCATCCTGCCCGGGCCATGAAAGAACCGAAAGCGAAGGAACCCGACCCTGGTTTGACCTCGATGGGCACCACAGCATCGCAGAGCAGCTGCGGGATGCATGACAGGTCCAGAAGGCGGATGGCTTTGCACTCCTTCTCCGACGCCTTTGCCGTGGGAAGCCGCCGTGTGAGTCGCAGGCGGTTCTCCGATCCGGCTATGTGGATTCGCATGTTTGCACGCAGCCATGGCGGAGAGCATGTTCAAAGCGTGCTTGTCTTCGTGAAAATCCGCCTTTTGTAGACATCAGACCCGGTCTGGGCTCCGTGGAGCGTAACCGTTAGAATAGAGTAGAGGTTTTGAGGCCTATGCTGGTATAACATCTTACAGCTATATTGGGATGTTCGCAAGGGGGCTAAATGCTAAATATTAATCCGACAGATTCTTCAGTCTCCGAGGATGAGAAGAATTACCATCAAGGCTTCAGGGAATAGGTTTTTGGGGTTTGGGATTCCGGGCTCTCTGGATTTAGGGTTAGGTTTAGGATGGTTTAGGGCATTTCGGGCTTAAAGTTCCGTAAACTCTCACACTCCACCCTAAGGCCCCAACGCAGTTCCTTTTGGGGGTTCATATATAGAATCTGATGAGGTACTCCCAAAAAGGAACTGCTATGGGGCCTCTGGGTAAACCAGGCTTGAAGGTGCAGCTTCGGCGCGTCAAGGCTACCACGTTGTGTCGGGAGCCCTCAATGGCCAGGTTCTTCATGAAGGCCTTAGCAACAGAAAGTCCTTGGGGTATATGGGGTATATTATAAGACTATAAGATCCCTTCAAGAGGTCCGTTTACGGATTCAAACATGGGTTTGGAACATTTTTTAGTACAGTTAAAAGAAGGAACCCGGAGGAATCATATCGCTAATTTGTCACGAAGGCCTTCTCCTGGCTGTTCATGGCCCTAAACCCTAAACCTCATGAAGGCCTTTATCTTTGGCTGCTCATGGCTAGGAAAGGTCTTTTGTGACTGTGCCGCATCTCCGCGAGTGCTGAGGACCTACTGTTGGTGGTAAGGGTTTAGGGTTTAAGGGTCGTGCGAGGATTTGGGGGTTTGGGGTTTAGGGCTTAGGGTTTTCAAGGCACGGATTAATGTTTAGGGTTTTAGGGCTTAGGGCTTAGCGTCAGGAGTGCGAAACATGAGGCATCGTGGTAGTCGGAGAGAGGTTCTACGTCAACACCACCTATGCCCGAAACTCCTAAGTGCCTACAGCCCAATCCCCAACCCCGAAACCCCAAACCCCTGAGACTCTAAACCTGGGGCCCTGACCCCCTGAAACCCTGAACCCTAAATCCTAAACCCTAAACCCTGACCCCCTGAAGCCCTAAACCCTAAACCGCCTGAAGCCCTAAAGCGCCAAATCCCCCAAAATCCTTTGACAATCCCACAGCCCTCAGGCCTTCCTCCTCCCCCGCTGCGACACAGTAGTGCGTTATGACTGGTTATGACCCCTTGAGGAACTCTTAAAAGAACCCTTAAAGGAACTCATAAAGCAATCCTTAGACGAACTCTTAAATGAGCCCCTAAAGGAACTCTTTAAAGGACCCCTTAAAGGAATTCTTAAAGAAGCCTTAATGAGCTTAGGGTCTGACGCAGCCTCGGTTGTAAAGGACACGCCTCTCTTCGTGGCTGCGCTTCATGGGCATTTAGAAGCCGTAAGATGTCTCCTTCAGAACCTTTAACTCGTATACCACCCCGAAGCCGTTCAGAGTTCGGGGGCTTGGCCAAAGTATGATGTATTAGCTATGCCCTAAACTCTTCACTCCAAAGCCCAAACACCATCTAACCCTGTCCTCAACACCCTCCAACCGACCCTTGAAACCTCGGACCCCCAAGACCCTAACCCTGAAAGCATTCAAAGAATAGAGTGCATCCACAAGCAGACCATTAAAAAAGCCTGTAAAAGAACCCAAACCTTGAACCCCGATCCCTGAGCCCCAAAGCCGTATGAACTGCCACACTCTTAAACCCTGCTCCTAAACCTCTGCTTAGAGGCCCAGGGGACTTAGTATATAAGTATTGTAATTAACGTCATAAGTATCCTGATTGCACTTAACCCAACTTCTAGCCGACATACCAACCCCCTGGGCCTCCAAGTACACCCTCAGACCCTAAACTATCCTAAACCTTGAGCCCAACCTCGACCACCCAACCACCCTTTATTGCAGCCCCCAAAATCACCTGTTAATGAGAAATATCAGGGTACCTCGGTGGTCCTGGCAAGAAATCAAAACCCGAACTACAAACAAACCCTAAACCCTAAACCCCTAAACCCTAAACCCTAAGCCCTAAACCCCTAAGGCCCTAACCCCTAAACCCCTCAACCCTAAGCCCCTAAACCCTAAACCCCTACTTCCTAAATCCCTAAACCCTATAAGCCCTAAACCCAGACGAAAAGCGTTCAGTCCAGTCTTGGAGATGCGGTAGGAATACCAGCCACCGGCCTTTCTGGGCGAACAGACTTTGGGGTTTGGAGTTTCGGAGGTCGAGCTGAGGTTCTACAGGATTTGTAGGGCCCCTTAAAAAGGTTCCTTTAAGGGTTTAGTTTAAGGGTTTAGGGTTTAGGGGTTTAGGGTTTAGGGTTGTTGAATTAAGCGAAATCTTTGCAAGCTGCAGTTCCTGCACTTCGGGGCAAGCAGGGGCCCGGTACACAGTAGGAGGGCCATCAATCCAGAAATGTGCGGATCGTCTCACGGCAATAGACACGTAACGACCCAGACACCTTTTGGGCCTGTGGCAAGCACGGACAAGTCAATTCCAGGTACGACGAACTCTCCGGAAAGGCGAACCTACGCGAGAAGAATTGAATCTCGCCCTAAAACTTACTGCAAGAAGACCCTGCAGAGGTCCTGGTTGGTGCCCACGGAGCCAACGCCGGCACCCAAGGCAACCACCTCAAGTTTCGACATGAGAGGTTTTCACAAAAGCGGTGACGCAAACATGGACCCTAACCTGAATAATAGTAAGACCTCGATTAGATGGAAACACCCTGCATAAGAAACCCTTAACTTTAAGAACCCATAATAAACTCGATCAGCACCCAATTCGGCACAAGGTAAAACCCACAGACACTCCAAAACCACTAAAGGAAGCTACTTACTACTTACTAGAAAGGATCCCTCTGTGTATCTCAAGAAGTGTTGCCCAAAACACTAAACGCAACAATATAGGGGCCTTAATGATTAGAATAGGGTTTCGGGGCCCATTATTCTATAGTTATAGCCCCCACAGTAGTTTTGGCAATTATTAAGGCCCCCATAATAATTGCCTGAAAGGTCCCCTGCCTTGCTAGGCTCCTCCTTCCCCGCAGCTCGCAGCTTGGGGTAGAGGGCCTCCATAAAGTCCAGGGAGATTCGGGTTCAAGGGATTTAAAGGGGGGGGGGTTTAAGGGTTTAGGGCTTCGGGTTTAGGGTTTAGGGGTTAGGGTTTAGGGTTTAAGGGTTTAGGGCTTAGGGGTTAGGGTTTAGGGTTTAGGGGTTTAGGGGTTTAAAGGGAACTCCAGAAAGTTGGAATATGGTTTCAGGGCAGGATACCGTGTAATTTACCATAAAGGGTTTAGGATAATCATATTCCAACTTTCTGGCTTTTACTTTAGGGCTTAGGGCAGGCTTCTCGTGCTCGTTTGCTTTATCACGTTATCAAGTGCGTCCTTGTGCAGGCGCTCATTCAAGTTTGTTGTCCTGGTGGTTTGGAGTTACACAGGATGTTGTAGGGCTTGCAGTTGTGCGGTGTTCGCCATCAGTGTGCTGCATGTAAGTCTTCGGAGGATTTAAGGGCACAGAAACCTAGCTAAGGACTGTAGCTCAGGATGTAGGGCTCTCAGTTTCAGGTCGTGTTCAGGGCTAGAAACGTTCCGGCTTCTTATTAGAGATTAGGGTTTAGTGTTTAGGGTTGGTCTTTTGGCTTAGGGCTTCGGGTTTCGGGATTCAGGTGGCAGGATGAACCCCTGGCGACTTTTTTGCTGCGCCCCTGGGAGGCGTTCGCATGGAGCGTGACTGTTGCCAGTGGACTACGCAATTAGGACTGCCTGCGGCCCCAAACGCTACAAAATGGTAGGACATATCGCCATAAGTATATGACATAGTCCATCAACTACTAGGGTAGACAATAGCTCTGCGTAGTCCATTAACTACTCCGGTAGGCAACATCTTGGCACAGTCCAGTGACTACTAGGGTAGACAATATCTTGGCACAGTCCATTTACTACTATAAGGCTCCTAAGATATCTCTGCATAGTCCATTAACCGCTAGGGTAGACGGTGTCTTCTAGAGACCCTGGCGCCTGATATCCCCGAAGCCCAAACCCGACATCCCAGGTTCTAACCTCACATGGGAGTTTCCGAAAATGGGGGCCTTATTTTGGGGTCCTTATCATAAGGATCCTGCTATTTAGGGTACTATATTAGGGTCCCTATATTAGGGTCCCCTATTCTCGGAAACCCCCACATAAAGATACTTTACCCTAAGGCTCCTGGACCCTCGCAATGAGATCTAAGACCTTAGCCCCCAAAGCCCAAAGCCTCCCCCAGAAAGCCCATGACCCTTTTAGGAGCCTTAGGAATTAGGGTAGGGTTGAAAGGGTTAGGGGTTCTCACCGCGCGTAGTTGCCAAAGTCGACAGAATGCTCCAGTTCCAATTCCAAGGCTGCTCTAATGTAGGGGCCTTCAGAATTAGAATAGGGTTTTTGGGTGTAAAACTATACAATAATCATAATGAGGAACCCCCACAATAGTATTAGTACTTATTTAGGCCCCTATAGCAGTTTGCAAGCCTTCGTCAGGAGTGCCGGGCCCATGACATTGGTGGCGAGGACCTTTGTACACAAAGGGCTTAAGACCGGTTCAAGGCAGAGGTCTTAACTCACGACGAATTTTGCAGACCCCTATACTAGATCCTAAATCTTCAACTCAGGTGAAGGCAGCCCTAAGCGAACGGCCTGAACCCCAACCCGCTGTAACATTGTACGTCACACACTCTCTAAACTCTACTAAACCCGCAGTGCCATATGCCTCGATTCATTTCATGTCCATAACCACCAGACTGACCAGACTTCCACCCCTTTCATTTGACTCACCTTCGCCATTCCGGCAACGACTACCTTCACGTTGACATGTCATCATGGATTGCACCGAGCGCCGTACTGAACTTCTCAAAGGGACAACAGATAACCACAAGGATATGCTTCAACAGTAGCTTGCGCCGAGAGGCCGCAGTGAAAGAAGCTTGATCCAATCTCCTTGCTGGATCAGGACAAGTTGCTGTTTCAGATCAAGCTGTGCAAATGTCAGGCTGCCTACGTGTCTAGGAAAACTATGCACGGAACGATTTGTTCCAGACCATTCAAGACTTGGATCCGCATTATGCCATGCCTACTTCAGGGAGCGGTTTGCCAGCAGGGGGTCTGCATCGTGGGTTTCGGGGATCGTGTGCTTTGCCCTTATTGCTTCATCGGGTTTAGTGGACCGTGGATAAAGCTAGGCATGCGTGGACATTTCCTGCTGCCATGAGTCGTCACGGAGTTCTCCCCGCGCCCGTTGGGATGCATGATGCCGGCCTCAGCCCACCACGGATTTGGTTTCAGTGCCTACGAAACCTATCACTTGGGTACGGCCCCCATACAGTAACAGCCTATAAGAGGGCTACTATTAAGGGCCTTATATATCTATATTATGAATATTATCCACTGTTACTAATAGTGGGGGCCGTACCCAACCTATCACCTCAACCCAGTATGCAGATGCCTTATAAATTTACAGGAACCCCCAAACACCCTAAACGCCTGCCATCCTGGGGCCGTCAACACCCAAAAACAAACCCTTAAACCGCCAACCACGGTTTAGGGTCCCTCCTTGTGCCTTAAAGCCTAAGTCACCCCTTAACTCCAATTTAAAATCCTAAACCCTAGGCAGCCCCAAGGCCTCTTAACCGAGTGCCCTGCGCTGTGGATGAGAAGACCCAGACCTCCTCCTGCTCAGTGGGTTCGGAGTCTTTAATATGGGAGTCTCCGAAAAATTGGGGCACCCTATTTTGGGGGTCCTTGTAATAAGGATCCTACTATTTAGGGCACTATATGAGGGTCCTGTATTTTCGGAAACTTTCATATGGGGGCATCAGTACTTAGAATAGGGTTTGGGCCCATTATACTGCACTTAACATCAGGAACCCCCTAAAACAGTATAGTTAATTTTTTAGGTCCCTCTATTAGGGTGGTTGCGCTATTCAAGGGCTTTAGGGTAAACTTTAGGGTTTAAGGTTTAGGCTCCGGTTATGTGGGTTGAGGGTCTGTAGTGGTTTTCTGTGGTAATTTAGGGTTGCTTATATGCAAACCATAAGCACCAAACTAATATGGGGGCTCAGATAAGGCTTGCCTTAACCCCGAAGGACCTACCTTTTTCAGGACTTATATAAGGAAATCAAAACAAGGAACCCCAAAAAGGTAGGTTATTCAGGGTCAAGGTGGGGTATACAGTGCTACAAGTACAACAAGGAATCCTGAGCACTGAGGAATGGCAACGCGAATTTGCCCCGGTTTCACATGCTCTCTAACCTCCAAGCCCACCCATCTGTTCCATGTGTCCTAACCCTACGGCTCTGAGGACTCGTATATTAAGGCTTTTGGGCCTAACGACCATCTCATATAAAAGTAGGGATCAAAATAGCCCAAAAGCCTTATATGGTATGGTCTTTGGGCCCAAAAAGCCTTAATATATGAGTCCTTAGATCCCTAGGGTAAGGCTTTTGGGCCATTTTGAGCCTTAGGGTAAGCGTGGAGTTGGGGTTTCGCAGGCTTTGGAGCCTGAACTCTTGGCCCGTCTAAGCCCGGACGCTCGACAGTTCCGGACCACCTAGGGTTCAGGGGTTTAGGGGTTTAGGGTTTATATAGGGGTTTAGGGTTTAGGGCTTAGGCTGCGCATAGTCGACGATTTGGCAAGGCGGTTTTAGGTCTGACCCCAAGCCCCAAACCCTGGACTGTAAAGAGCCTTCTGCAGAATGTTATAGAACAAGAAGCGCTAGTTTTCATGAACACCAGGAAATGCTTCCGATACGAAAATCAGGACAACCACCCTTATTGAGACTAAACACGAAACCCTAAACTCCAAACATACCGGCCCTTATCTGAAGAACCCAACGGGCCTGTGAACTCGTCCGAGGCAGCTGCAGCAGCCTTGATCGATTCCTTCAGTGTATCAGGATCTACTTCTTTTCAAGCTCTACAGCGTTTCGACAGTTTTAGGCCTGCACGGTCATAAAGTCTAAAACCTTAGGGTGCAACTAGAGCGTGGAGGTTCAGGATATACAGTCAACTCGACCATCGCTTCCTCCTTGAGTTGCACCTTTTGAGCTTCAGGATTCGCGGTAACACCAATGCAGCATGTCAGGTGGCGGTTGAGCACCGAAAAGCTTTGCTAGAGCTCTGGTCTCCCTTTAACCCAAAGCCCGAATATGGAAGCCTGAATCACTACGAATAGTGTTCCATGAAGTTCAGTAAAGCTCAGTACTGTTGTAATCATGTAAGAATATGACCCAAAATCCTAAGTATTCTAGGCATTAATGCGTTAAAAAGCTAAAATCTTAAAACACGTAATGTTGGCCTCAGGGGATTTTTAAGTCTTTGGGGCGTGGGCCAGGGTGTCGTACGTCAGGCCCAGCTTTTTTCTCGCAGGGCTTGGGGCCCCTGTTCGGTGGCTGGGGGATAGGGGTGCATTAGAAGGGGCCCCCACCCTGCAATGGTGGTACAATAGGAATATAATAGGGCCCTAATATAATCCCTATAGTCACTATTACAGGGTGGGGGCAGCTTCTAAGGAGTACATGCAACTAGCCTAGGGTTTAGGTGACTGGTTGAAGGGTAAAAAAGTTTAGGATTTACGGGGGTTGCGCGTTTACTCTTGGCTGCACATTGCCGAAACCATTCGCCGCTGCCCTGGACTCCAAACCCTAAACCCCTACAGGCAATAAACCCTACATCCTCCTGAAGCCCTAAAGAGCCCTAGAGCCATGAAAGCCTCGAGCCCTAGAGTTTTTTGAGCCCAGGGAGCGAAGAACCCGAAAAGCCCAGAACCCTAAAGCCCAGAAGCCCTGCCACCCGAAACCTAAAACCCTGCAGCCCCAAAGCCCTAAGCCCTCAACCCGCAAACTAGGATGCCCAGTAACCTAGGAATAAAAAGGGCTCCCCATTTGGTATTGGGTAGCTTTATAAGGAACCAAGGATTACAAAAAGGGAATAAGGGTACTACTGGGCATCCTAGCAAACCCTAAAAGCCAAGACCCAAGGACCCTATAAGGCTTAAGCCTGGGTCGGCACTGACAAAACGAACCTGAACCTCCTGCATTGGGCCCTTATTTCCCAGAGACTCCAATACCCGTTAATTAAGGAATATGCCTTAAATTATAGTAGGATCCTTAATAATATGATTTAAGGAATATTCCTTGTTAATTAAGGGATATGCCCTAAAATATAGTAGGATCCGTAATATGATTTAAGGATTCTTCATTTATTAAGGGATATTGGAGTCTCTGGGTTAGGAGGGCCCAGGGCCCAGGCTGCAGGCACCTCGCTTAGAGCTTGGGCTTGTGCGAGTTGTTGAATTTAAGGTTCACGTGAGTGTAGGAACCCCACTTGGAGGGTCGGGGGACTTAGTAACTGGTTATTCTGGGGACTTATAAGTACCATAACCCCAATCAAGGTCCCTTTTAGGGTACTTATAAGTCTACTTACTAACTACTTACTAAGTCCCCCGACCCCCCAAGCAAAACCTGAACCCTATGTGGAGAAAAGGGTTTAGGATCCATCCTCACGAAGGATTTCAGGCTTCTGAAGCTTCAGAAGCTACCAGAAACCTTATAAAGTCCGATTCCCTATGAACATACGGCCTGAACAATGTCGTCTCTTTCGGGTTATGCGAATAGAGAACTTGAATTCGGGTTTCTTACTATCACCATCGTGAAATATGTTCCAAGACCAGTTCTGCTTGTTAAGGCCCCTTAAACCCTCAACCCTGGACCCCTTTTTAAACCCCTGAGCCCTAAACCCCCAAACCGTTATCTGCTAAACCCCTCGACCCTAAACCCCTAAACCCTCAACTCTATGTTAGGGTTTACGGGGGCCCCTGGCAGTCGAGTGTTGTTGATGTGATGGGCCTGAAGCGGATCGAATGCGAAACGGGCCGGAACAGGCTGACGTACTTGGAGGGTCGGGGGACTTAGCAACTGGTTATTCTGGGGACTTATAAGTACCATAACCCCAATCAAGGTCCCTTTTAGGGTACTTATAAGTCTACTTACTAACTACCTACTAAGTCCCCCGACCCCCCAAGTATGACAGAAGGGCTCTGTCACTATATAGACCCAATGGAAGATTATCTACTCAATTAGGGGGGGGGGGGGGGGGGGGGGGGGTAGGCTGGAGACCAGTGAAGCAGCAATCAAGAGTTGATAAGGGGCCCCAGTTCTGTTATCCTACAAGGGTTGTTCGAACAAACTTACAGAGGGATGGTTTTAGAACGACCACAAAGAGATGTTCCCTAAACCCTAAAACACAAATAAACCCTTTTGCAGTAGCTCTTCCGACTTCCGACCCCGGTATTTTGCAGGCCTCATTTGTGAGGTCCATGTCCAGAGGCAGGAGCCGAGAGCTGTGTTCGGCCTTTAATGCCTGGCCCGGCGGAATCGCAGCCGACGTCAGGCTAGCTTATCTCCATTTGTTTGGCATAGGGACCTTATGAAATATTAAGCAAGTAAGTAAGTGTGTGTGTATATATTTGTGTGTTTGTGTGCTCGTGGGTGTGTGTGTGTGTGTGTGTGTATGCGTGTGTGTGTGTGTGTGTGTGTACGTGTGTGTGTGTGTGTGTGCTGTTTTTGGACGGGGGTGGAATACGGGTTTGGAATTGAGGATTTCTGGTTGTTGCGTGGTGTGCTGTTGCTGTTTCGATGCTTTGCAGAGGTGGGTAAGGGGTGTACTACACCAAACCCTGAACCGGCAAAAACAGCTCCTTAACACAATCAACTAATCCTAAATCTGTAAGCCCGAATGAGAACCATAATCACAACACAAATGCCTTCATACAAAACTTTATAAACCCTAAACCCTAAAAACACTAATTAAACCCTAAACCCTAACCAAAACAGAAGAAGCTGCAAGAAGGGCACCTGGAGCCCTGGCGAGACCATTGCTTTCCGCCCGGAGGCGACGACATTCAGAGAGGTGCCGCGCAGCAGGCCCTGCTGGGCTTAGCGCTTTAAGGGCTTAAGGTGTAGGGCTTGAGATGGTCTCAGAGTTTATGCATTTTAGGGTTTATAGGGTTCATAAAATTTGAGGGTTTAAAAGGATAGTTTAGGGTTCCAGGGTTTAGGGCGTATAACATGGAGGCACGCCGGAAATCAATTATAAACCCCCGGTCGTATATATCTATATTATGATCATTATTCAACTACCCTAAACCCTAAACCCTGAACCCTAAGGGTGGGGGCCGTACCTAAACTGTAGGTGATGCTCGGCTTTATGAGTCAGACCTGGAGCCCCTACACCACAATTAGGACCGCAACTTCTAAGCTTTAGGGTTTTGGGTTTAGAGTTTAGGGCTTTGGGTTTAGGGTTTATGGTTTAGGCTTTAGGGTTTAGGGTTTAGGGTTTTGGGTTCAGTGTTTAGGGCTTTGGGTTTATGGTTTAGGGTTTAGGGTTTTGGGTTTAGGGTTTTGGGTTGCTAAACCCAAGTCAGATCCCTAGACAGGGCAACTCATAGAACCCTTACAGATACCCTGAATCCGAAACTAGGTCCGCAACCCTCAACCCATATAGGTTCCCCATATACCCGGAAGAAAGCCTACAAGGGGCCCGAAAAGAACCCTGAACCCGAAACCCACTGCCAGAACTTAGGTACGGCCCCCATACAGTAAGAGTCTATACTAGGGCTACTATTAAGGTCCTACTATATCTATATTATGAATACTATTCAACTATTGCTGAGTGGGGGCCGTACCCAAGCCAGAACCCACCAAAGAGTACCAGCTGATCGGGCTGTGGGTTTCAGGGCATCAATAAATAGAATAGCGTTCCTCTCAGGGATCGTTTAAAGGGTTCTATAATTGAAGGGCAGTAATAACCAAAATAGTTTTCGTTTATTCGAGGGGTGGGTTGTGGGGTGTATCAGTCTTTTCGAAAGAAGAAAACCTATAAGGATTGATGTAGGTGACTACTTAAGCTTCCATGTTAAGCCCGGATTCCAGTAACAATGTTGGGGTCCTAAGACTCCCAAACCCAACTCAATCAGAAAGATGAGGCGGGTGCATCGGGATTTTTACAGGTTTGACTGAGGTCACGTAGGCTTCTGTAAGGGGTTGTATGGGAGTTTCCGAAAAATAGGGGTACCTTATTTAGGGGTCCTTATAATGGGGAGCCTACTATTTAGGGTACGATATTTGGGACCCCCATTTTCGGAAACTCCCATATAGGGTTTTGAAGGAGCTTCGATCTTGATGGGTATAGGGAGTTTAGGATTTCGATTCAGAAGATTTTTGGCCGATCGGAAGGTTCGAGCATGTCTGCTTCCTAAGAGACCTAAAGGCGGGGGGTTGATGATGAATTGAATTAGAGTAGGGTTTGGGGGTACACTGCGGAAAACTGCTATGACTACAGGAAGTACTCTCACTAGTCATAAAAAGCTCTATTAGTAGAAACTCTTTGGACCTGCTAACTCCAAAAGCCTGCGACTCCAATATCTTTAGATGACCATACTGTAGGCGCTGCACCCCCCCGGCCAACACAAATTGGTCAACACGTCCACTTCGTGTGAACTGGAAAGCCTTCGCAAGTGGAAGTTATGCGATGACAAAGGTTCGTAGGCAATGACTCCTCTTGGCATTGAAGCCATGCGGCACACGGCTGGACCTCGCAGGTTGTAATGACAGCCGTTTGGTGTCAGAGAGCCCGTGCTGCTAGCGTCGACAAAGCTTTGCAATCGAAGGCTAATGCAACCACATGTTCCGACCCAGCTGTCCGGCGCGAAGCACGGGCACGCCAGAGCACGCTCTGTCCATGGCCAATTCGGCCACTGCACCCGGTGGAGAAGATCCGCCCAGTTGAAGCCCCGGTAGGCCGCGAACTCTGGGCTTTCTAATTGAAGCATGTAACCGTCACCAGCCAAAATCTCGGAGCCTCCATGGTGAGTTCTGCATCCCAGCCGTCTGCTTCAGCTGATATGCTGGTATTCTGTCAGTCGACACCTTTAAGTGTCAACGGAGGGTGTGTACCCCGCACAGTGGTGTGGAGGGGCAGTAGCGTCGACGCCCTGGATCTCTTGCAACAATGGATCCTGCAAGGCTAAGCCATAATTAATTTGCCCAAGCCAAAAGCCTCTGCCTTAATGCCCCGACTGAAGTGCCCGTAGAACCGTTGCAGCTTTCTGTTTTAAAGAAGTAAGACATATCTTAACCCCCGAATGCCTGCTTTTTTAGGACTCCTACGTATGATTTCCTCTATATTTGTCCTTTAAAGATGTAGGTTCTCAAGCTAAAGCCCCGTGCCGGAGAAACTCAGGAGCCAAGAACAGCCTCCACCAGTGCCAGTCCAATACCACGGCTCGCGCCGCTCCTCCACACTCCACAGTTTGGGGTTCGGGGTTTAGGGTTTCGGTTTCATAATTTAGGGTGTTTTTGGCTTAGGGTTTCGGTTTCATAATTTAGGGTTTGGGGTTTAGGACGTCGGTTTCATAATTTAGGGTCTGGGGTTTGGGGCTTCGGTTTCATATGTAGGTTTTGGGGTTTATGGTTTAGGTGCCACAATTCTAGTAAGGGTTCCTAGCAGAGTTTAGGGCTGTAGGGCACCTACTGTAGAGACTCGAAAACCACTGAACTAACCTCCCTTCCTGAATCTCTAGCAGGATCCTGAGTGTAACTTACATAATTCAGGAGATTACGGCCTTGAGGCATTGAAGGATAGTTTCGGATGTACATATAACTATACATGTGAGTATGAATAGAAATATAACAAGTATGACAAACAAGCAAGTAAATCCCTGTTTCTATCTGTATGTATGCATGTATATATATATATATATGTATATATATATATATATATGCCATGTGTGTATATACACATACAGACATATGGGGCTTCGTCCTGGGGTTGAGGATCACAGGCTCTCCTGTTAGTCTTTATCCCTGCATGAAATCCTAAACCCCCGCAAGCCCTGAACCTCAACCCCCTTTACTAAGATCTAAACTCACTGTGTGATTTTCGATAGACCCATGCCTTTTGCGACAAGGCCGTGATCGAGGGGCGCTTGGAGGCCCAGGGACTTACTAAGTCGGTTATAAGTAGGGTTATAATTGGGGTAACTCCATTCAGGGGACTTATAACCTACTTACTAAGTCCCCTGGGCCTCTAAGCGGGGGAGAGTGCTCGATCCCATCGTCCTTGCCTGTCCGAATCCCACAGGCTCCATGTATATATGAACCACAAAAAGGAACTACTATGGAGCCTCAAGGTATGTAGTATTTGGGTAGTTCTCTAAATTGGGGTCCCTTCAAAGCACCCTCAGAACAAGGACCCCCAAAGGGACCCTGATTTAGAGAACTACCCATATACTTATTCCAAGCTTGAGTTCCTATACAGGTACTGGAAGATCTACGATATACGATAAGACTGTATGGGCACATGGGGCCTTACGGAATTTCCACGTTTCAACGCAATCAATCACGATAGGGCATACACGCCTGCCGTAATCAAACCGATCGGTTCCCCAAAACCACAAAGACGAAACCCAAAGCATGACACCCTGAACACCCGAAACCTTTCCCGGGTTTGAAGGGAGAACCCCATACCCTAAACTCTAAACCCTAAAAAACCCACACCCAGAAAAACCCGAAACCCTAAACTTGACCCTTAAACCCTAAACCCCCCGATTCGGGGGCCCTTCTCTGGCTAAATCCTAAAGCCCCCTGACCCCTAAACCCCTAAACCCCACATGTTGAAAAGATGGCGGCTTAAATGTTACTGAAGGTTTAGGGTGTGGAGTCTCCTATAACCCCTTAGAACCATAATAAACATAGTATGTTTAATGTTCTCTTGGGCTTTTACTACATTTTCGGTCTCAGGCCCGGTCACGAAGGCGGACATGCTGCTTCTTATGGATGCTGGCAAAGTTCTGCAAATTCCGCTTTTGATTGCGAGTGGGAGTTTCGGATTGATAATCATGTCTCGAACTGTTGCCTGAACATGCGGTCTGGATATTTCTAGACGGTGTGGGTGTGGCCTTGTAACTTCTGTAGCGCGGGGTGCTCTGAACGAACCGCCGAAGACAGTTGGGTCTACGAGCCTGTGGGCTTTTCGTAAAAGGGCTGACGTAGTTTAGGATTTCCGTATTAACCCTATAGACCCTAAACCTTGAACCCTAAACCCCTAAAACCTAAACTAAGCTTCTGGGGATTCCATGCTTTGCATCTTGGGTTTCTGCTTTCTATGAATCAGCTTGAGCGAGGCATCGGACGATGATGCGTGCGGTTTAGGATAATGTGAGGGATTTGAATACGGGTTCGGGTTATATTCTAGACCCAAGAGTAACCTAGGAATAAAAAAAGGTGCCCTTTTTGGTATAAGGGGCTTATACGGGAACCTGAACCCTGAAAAAGGGAATAAGGGCCTACTCTAGGTCCTAGTATGAAGTGTGACTACAGGAGTGATATTGCTAGTTTAGAGCCCAACTTCTGGTCTGGAGTTAATCAGTTTCGGGTTCAGGAAAATACAAAAAAACACATCGTGAGCAAGCAGCTTCAGCTTCACACTCCAGAACCTGACCACCCTAAACGGTCATTACACCTGGAATCCGAAACACAGGTTTAAGGCTTAAGGTCCATTGCTGGGGTTTGCTTCCCATGCATGGCTTGCGGGACTCCCAACATGTTGAACTTTCCAGGATTTCTGACTGCGCACTAAAGCGTGTTTGCTATACTAGCACATTCGATTGCAGGGTCAGTATACATCCAGACCTTCCAAGATCCGATATGCCTTAAAATCATATTAGGGATCCCACCCTTTTTACGGTATGCTCCTTAATTAATTAAGGGATATTGGAGGGTCTGGGCACAAACAAGTGCTCCTAGGATGACAGCCTAAAGCCTCAATCCTCAAACGGCTTAAGGTTTGGGATTTTTGTCAACCCTACACCCGAATGATGTAAACTAGCGTTGAGGCTCCAGAGGTCAGGGATCAGCAAGATACGGCATCTCAAAGACTTACGATTTTGAAGGTATGGGTTATACTAAGGATAACTACGGCTATTCGAAGCAAACTGCTACTATATTCGTCTAATTACACTTGAACCTGCTAACATGAAGCAGGTGTGGTGTCCATAAACTACACACTGCGCAGTTATTATTGTCGCTCGTGCACTTGTTTATCTAGGTGTTCCGGAGGAAAAGAGCTTTCCGTAAAACTGGGGCTGTTGTGAGTCCCGCACCGTATTGTTTTGCAAGAAAGACTGTTTCAGTGGTTATTGCTAATACTGTGCAGTGTCTTGGTTTTTGGTACTAGCCTGACCTTTCGAGCTCAGCCTCATCGGTATCCTGATAGTGCTGATAGCTAACTTGTTGCTCTCATGATGATGGTTATGAGTCATGAGCAGTACTACAGCTTTTTTGATCGCAACAAATGCTACTCTGTTGACTGTCGTGACATATTTAGCTTTATGAAAATACAGACACATATCATCAACATTATCGTATTGTTCTTAAACCCTTATGGCTAGTATTAGTGTGCTCATTATGCTTGTACGTATGTGTTACGTACTGTTGAACTCTTATGCTGCGGATACTGCATGTACCCTTTCTTGAATAAACATCTGCGTGTGCATGCGTATGTATATACAATTAAGAATAGAGAACGCGGATGAGAGTGAGAGAGAGAGAGAGAGAGAAAGAGCGAGAGAAAAGAGGAGGAGAATGCGATGTGGAGGAGGAGGAGGAGGAGGAGGAGGAGGAGGAGGACCCTTTGCCCTTAAGCCTGCATCCCGCGAAGCATCTGGTTTTCCTGGCCCGCCGGCTGGCACTCACTGGGATATTAGAGCCCCGGCCTTCTCGTCTGTCATAGAACAACGGTTTCCATCCAAGTGTTTCCTTATCTTCACTTCTAGTGTAACATGAATAATACAGACTCGTGAAGAACTGGATCTCTGAGAATGGAAGAAAGTGTAGGGAACCTCTCATGATATGACCCTAAGCTTAGGACCCCAAACCCTGAACTCAAATCCCCCAAGAACCTCTGATAATATCACCCTACAAACATCGGAGCCGTTTATATGTGCACCTGCAAACAGGCAGCCTGATTCAACACCTCGCCTCGACCTTAAGCCCTAAACGATACCACATGGTACTTGTGGGGTCGGCGGAGTTAGTACAGTAAACCGGATTAAGGCCAAATAGTGCTGGGATTCCCTATACATTACTCTTAAGGATTGAGGCTATGGGGTTTCCAACTTTTTGGCTTCTACTGTAAGCAGTTATAGTATGGAGATATAAGTACCATAACCTCTGAAACCCGGCCTTCATGCTTTTTCAACAGGGATTTGGAGCACTCTAAAATATAATTGCAATAAGGAGCCCTAATGGTAATTCTTCTGAGCCCTGTTCCGAACCTGCCGGGGCTCGGCTGAGTGAGACAACACAGCACTGCGCGGGCCCGGAGAGGTAGAGGCCCAGGGGACTTAGTAAGTCGGTGATAAAATAGGGTTATATATAACTGGGGTAACTCCACTTAGGAGACTTATAACTCTACTTAAAACCGACTTACTGAGTCCCCTGGGCCTCTAAGGTAGGGGCTTGAAGAATTTTGGAGACTTGGGGTTATGAGTCTTTCGAGTTAGGGTTTAAAAGCTTAGGACTTACTTGGAGGATCATGGGACTTAGTAAGTAAGGTTATAAGTACCTTAATTGGGGTTATAAGTATAGTTACCCTAATTATAACCTTAGTTACTAAGTCCCATGATCCTTTAAGTAGGGTTTAGGGTTTAGGCTCGTCAAAGCAGCGTCACGGACCTCAATGGCACAGGCAATTTCCCCGCCATCTCGGCTACTACGGTTGATGATATAAATCCTGCATGACCCATAATAAGGAAGATACCCAAATTCCCATAGTTTAGGGTCCTTAAGGTCATGCAGGATTTGTATCATCAACCGTAGGAAGAGTCTCGGATGGAAAATGATCACAGGGCCTCACTGCTTGGCACCGACCCCAAAGAAGAGGTCACGGTGCCTCAGTGGAGACTGGGCACAGTGGCTGTGGATGTTCGGGCTTGAAGGGCTTTTGGGGGTTTTTTAGGGTTCCGAAGGACCCAATAATAACGTACTTGGGTTCAGGATAAAGTAGTTACGTAGGTTCGTATCTGTTCGTATCTGGGAGAGTATTAAGTTGGTGAGGTACTTGGGCCCTTTGATGATCTAAACCCAAAAACCACTCAAACGTTACAGCCGGCTCCCTCCGCCAAAGATCCTGTAAAGGAACTTGTATTGGTTGTCAAAATTATGGTCCCTGTTTGGGTAGCCTAAATATTAGGTGCCGTATTATAATAAGGACCCAGGGACCCTAATCTTGACAACTGCCCGTGTAGCTCATAGCTCCCTTAAAGGAGCCCTTATCTCCCCCCTTTACCGCAATGGGGACTTTACGAGGGGTTCAACTGGGTAGGGTTTACGGCTTATACACTATAAGGGTTCCTTTAAGGCTTCCTTTAAGGGCTCCCTTAAGGGTTGTATAATAGGGGCATCATACTATTGGGGTTTAGGGTTCTTAGTAGGCTCTCTGGTTCCTGGTAGTAGGAATGGGGGAATGGGTTATGGAGACTATCATCGGGGATTGTATAGGGACTACTTCTAGGGATCCAGTACCTGCTAGGGTTGAAAGGTCTTCGGGGCCTATGCACTTCGCAAGCCGAAACCCTGCAAGCAGCCCTTAGCCCCAAAGAAACCAGTGCCCGTAGTTCGGTGGCAGAGGCCGCGGCTCACGTAGGACAGGTCCGGAAACTCCTTTTCAGGGCTTTTGGGTTTTGGGGGTTAAGGGTTCTATCCTCAGGGTCCATGTGCCCATCTAGTGTATACTTCGGCTCTAGAGTAATTACCTAAATAGGGACAACTTTAAGGCCAAAGTACCTACTATTTGGGAGGGTTAGGATTTGGGGTTGTTGAAGTTACAATCTATCTACTCAAAGCTTCGGAAGTCCCGAAATCTCTGTCAATCTTTTGCTTTTAACTGACGGGCTGGGGATGGTTGGGGTGTTACCCTAAACCCTAGGCCCGTCGGGTTTCGGATTTAAGAACTCCTTTACAGCTTCATTCGATGTGTGGCATTTATAAGGGATTTCTGAGCTTTGACAATTGACTTCGGCAGAGACTAGTTTCGACTGATGAGTTCGGGCAGGACAAGACAACACAACATCAACAACACACCCAAATCGCTAAGCACCGTGCCAACATGAGGCCTCGCCCAACATACCCCCAGCTCCGTGCTAGAGAGCAACCCCCTACTTCCCTCTACTATACCAAAAATACCACTATCACGGACCATATAAGGGCTCTACTAAAGGGTAATCGGGGGTGCTGGGAGAGCAACCTCCTACACCCCAAGCTCGAAACTCTCGGCCCGAAGCCCAGAATACCCTTGTATAAATGAACTCGGACACCGTAGATCCTAAATCCCACAAAAAACAAGACTAACAACCTCTATAACGGATTTAAACCTCTGAAAACACTTCGCAACAGCTCCTTTAGCCCCTATACTGACAAAACCCTCAACGCCCAAACCCTGAACACTAAATCTAAACACTAACCCGAAACACTAAACCCTAACCCTTCCCCCCCCATCCCCCCCTAGAAGCTCCTTTTGGAGAAAAGTCCTACTCTGCTCTGAGAACACCCTAAACCCCAAACCCCTAAACCCCTGAACCCTAAACCCTAAAACCCTGAACCCCAAAACCCCCCCCCCTTAGGTTCCCCCCACAAGAAGCTCCTTTTGGAGATACGAGTTGCCCAGGGATTGGATCTGGCCCTGGTTGGGCCTCTCGCGGTACTTGCCTGGGCTCCAGGGTTTGCAAGGACTAAATAAGGTTCTAGGGTTGATGATATAAATCCTGCAATACCCATAATAAGGCATATACCATAATTCCCATAGTTTAGGGTCCTTAAGGTCCTGCAGGATTTATATCATCAACCGTACGGAGTGGAGTGTTTCCCAGGGTTGCATCAGCTGAAGCGAGGTCTGGCGCTTTTTTGTTTGGCCCGGCAAATAGAAATAAAGTTACGTAGTTGTTGAAGTTCGGTGAGGACGTCGTGATTTCCGCTGTCAATGTGGATTCTGCTACGCTAGAAGCCCCCAACACAGAGCGATGCAGCCTGATCCGGAACTACGCCCAAGTCCTGTTTGCTTCAAGCGGAAAAGATCTCCTATCCGCTCGGGGGTATCATGCTGTATGTCTACTAGGAATGTGTATCAACTACTGTTTGAGGAGCCTAAAAGTTTCAACTCTTACACCCACGATCCCAGGAGTCCAAGAGCCTGGGAGTGGAAGTTTAAGTCCTGCAGTCGAAATTTGCCCCCTGGGAGGCCCTGAAACCCAAACCCATTCTCGGATTTAGTTTTCGGGTTCAAGAAAGATGCCCTGAACCCCCAAAGACTCCAAGTCTCCAAGCCTAAACCCGATAAACCTCTCTGGACAAGCGTCTCTGGATTTGGTCCACGACATCCATGCCATTCTCCACCACCTATGTCAAGTACTACAGTATCTTTGGGCCATACAGCATAGTGCAACAGAACCCACTACAGTAATATATAATGAAAGCTAACATTATAACATATATGCTATAACTTCATACAACTTTACATGATCTTCTACTTATATGATATACCCATAGTAGTTCCTTTTCGGGGTTCATATTTAGAATCCTATAAGGTAATCCCCAAAAGGAACTACTATGGGGCCTGGGATTTATGAATCCTAAGAGGTAAGCCCAAAAAGGAACTACTATGGGGCCTATAGGTATGGGATGGGAAGCAAGGCTTGCCAAAGAACCAGGAAAGGCCCGTTAACATCCTTGGACCTGAGAAGATGGCGTTAAGGTTTCAGAAGGTAGCCCAGCCCGAAGGCCTATGATCTGCATTTATTCCCCTAATGCCCTTAAAGGGTCAAGAAGATAGGCTCAACTCGCCTGGGATGTCCTATACCACCCTAAATCATCTCCCTTCCAAAGCCTTGTGAGCCTCACGTAGAATCCCATGCAGCTCTTGCCAAAACTTATCAAGACCCTTCTCACTGCAGTATAGCCCCAGATAGAACCCTAAACCCTAAACCCTTAAACCCTAAACCAGAATCCTATGCAGCCTTTATACCCAAAGCCCAGGCCCTACACCGTAAACCCCAAACCCTAATCCTCTAGACCCTCTAAACCCTGAGCCCTTGAAACCCGAAAACAGCCCTGATCCTCTAGACCCTTTAAACCCTGAGCCATTAAAACCCTAAAAAAGCCTTGATCCTCTATAGACCCTCAAAACCCTGAGCTTTTTAAACACTACGGCCTGATCCCTACCGTTAGAAGGAAGACCCCCAAAACCCCAAGACCCCTAAAGTAGAAGCCAAAAAGTTGGAAACCCCATAGCCTCAATCCTTAAGAGTAATGTATAGGGAATCCCAGCACTATTTGGCCTTAATCCGGTTTCCAACTTTATGGGGTTATACTGTAAACCGCTAAAGCCCTAAACCCTCGGACTCGACAGCTGAAACCCTATCATCACCCGAACCGCCGAATTAGACGCATTAAACTTTCCGATTCCTACTCAACTATAAGAGCCCATAAAGTTTAAAGGTTAGGTAGTGGGGATCGAAGCTGGTCACTACCGTTAGAAGGAGGTCCGCCGACACGGGGAGCCCTAAACCCCTAAACCCTACAACCTAAACCCCTAAACCCTACAACCTAAACCCCTAAACCCTACAACCCTAAAACCAAAACCCCTAAACCCTGAAACCCTAAAACCTGAACTCCTAAACCCTTAAACCCTAAACCCCTAAGCCCTAAACCCAGGCCTCTGCGAAGGGGGAGAAGCCCTGGCTGTCCAGGAAGCCGTTGTCCTCGGAAGGCTCGGGTTCAAAGCCACAGTTGAGGGTTTGGGGTTTAGGGGTTTAGGGTTTAATTAGGGCGCGTAGGGTTTAGGGGTTTAGGGTTTATAGGGTTTAGGGAATCCTTGTAAGGAATCTATAAGGCCAGCTTTGCCTGGGCTCCAGGGTTTGCAAGGCTGGGGACTAAATAACTGGGTTGTAGATTTGGGGCTCTGAACAGTATTTATGAATAGGTACCTCTATAGGAACCATAAGGGAAATCAACAAGTTTCCCAAATTGCCACCTAGCACAGTTTAGGGTTTAGGGTTTATAGGGTTTAGGGGTTTAGGATTTTGTTTGAAGGCCTTTTTGGTGTCTGCCCGGTGTCTCCACTATACACATCAACCAGCCCACATCTGGCAGGCCCTTTTTGGGTTCGGGGTTTAGGGTTCAGCGGGTTTAGGAAGATGGTTTCTGACACACCGGCCTTTTTTTGGCGCTTATAAGAAGTGTGCTACAAGGCGTGATGGGGCGGGGCGGGGTACATATAGGATTCTGGATTTATGCTTTTGGCCTTGGGTTTAGTTGTGCAGTTTAGTGTGTGGGCCAGGAAAACAGAGGTCATGAACCCTAGAAAGAGCCCGTGTGAAGGCCTTAAACGAACCTAGAAGGGTCTCCATAAAAGGAACCTAGAAGGAACGGTCTCTTGCGCTTGGGATTCCCCCCAAAAAAGGATCCTCAAAACTAGGCAATCCCCGTTTTCAACCCCGGGCTTGCTCAGAAGATGAGGGGCGCGGGCCTAAACCCGAGCCCCTGCCATGACCGCCCAAGGGCGCTTTAATCGAGCCTTGGATGGCCCTTAATTTTATTAATAGTGGATGTTTGGGGCAATTTTAGAGAGTTTAGTTGGGGGGTCTAGGTTAACCCAAACCCTAAACCCTAAGCCCCTAAACCCTAAATCGGGTCTTTGGGGACAGCAAAGGGTGATTAGGAAGTCTCAGGAACACCATAAACCCGAAACTTGGACCCCAAACCAAGCTTATTCTCAAGCTTGTAATTTTTTGTTGTTCTAACCTGTTAATTAAAACATACAACAATCTATCACCCTAAACCCTTGACCCCAAACCCTAAACCAAAGTTGTTCTCGAGCAAGAGGCAGCGGTGTTGATGAAGAGCTGCGTGGTGCGGGTGTTGGGGCCGGCGGTTGCGAAGGTCATGTAGCCGCGCTTGTTGCTCTCCTTCACCTCTGAGGTGCTGCTCGGAGGCTTGGGATTAGGGTTTAAGGTTTAGGGATGTTTGGAATTAGGGCTAGGGGTTTAGGGATGTTTGGGGTAAGGCTTTAGGGTTTAGGGATGTTGGGGGTTAGGGTTCAGGGATGTTTGGAGTGCTGGTGGCAACGTGGGGGGGTCACCGTCTCCAGCCACGTAATCAAGGCCCGGTGCGGTGGGACGTGGATGCTTTCACGGTCTGTGTGTCCTGCTTCTTGCGATCGTGATTGCGACGATTCTGAGCACTCAGGATCTGCTGTCGGAGCCTTTGCGCGTCCACTGACAAAGCCTCGAGGGTGCAGAGCTCCTGTGTTGTTGGCCCGGGGCGGGCCGGTGCCTCGAGGGGGGCAGGAGCGCTGAGAAGGGCATGCGAAGAGGAACTTATAGGGGCCATAATGGGTCGAGTAGGGTCTCGATGTAAACTTTAGACTTAGAACCACGGGAAGCCTTAACCCTAGACTATACCCTACGACTCTACGACCTAAGCCCTGAGCCCCAAACCGAATGGATTCCACTAAGGCTGCTTATCAAAAGCTCAGCTTCTGCCTACTGCTCCACTCGTTCACCCATGCGATTCAGGTTTTAGGGTGTAGGGTTTTAGGGTGCAAGAGCCATCCTTCCAGCCCTCAACCTGCGTCGAAATCCGCTGACCAAGGACCTGTGTGCAGTATCAGATGGGGCCGGTTACAATCGAAACTTGCAAAGATTCGAGCCGCTTGGCAGGCATCCCTGGAAGCCTTATCACCCATATACATATATTTGTTAAGCAGCGAACTCCTCTGACTGCACGAAAATGCGAAATCTATATATATATATATATATATATATATATATATAGATATCTATATACACACACATATTATGTATATATATATACACACACACACACACACACACACACACACACACACACACACACACACACACACACACACACACACACACACACACACACACACACACACACACACACACACACACACACACACACACACACACACACACACCACACACACACACACACACACACACACACACACACACACACACACACACACACACACACACACACACACACACACACACACACACACACACACACACACACACACACACACACACACACACACACACACACATTCATACACACACACACATTCATACACACATTCATGCATACATACCTCCATACATACATACATACATACACACACAGACATACATACATAGATACATACATACATACATACATGTATATTACGTAGTAAGGGCCCTTACCTTCCGAAGGAAGGATGCTTCTGTTGAGATGATCAGATAGGTTCCTGTCCGAAATAGCCCGCGGAACCCCAAGCTGCTAACCCTAAACCTGCATTGAAGCTATGAACTCCAAAACCCTAGACTCTGATCCGCGCCAAACCCCTAAACAAATTTAAACCGTAAACAATCCCCGTGCCTTGTCATCAGGGATGGTCTTGCTGCGCCAGGTGCTGGCAACCTCTCCGCAGGAATCAGACGAGCATTTGATCCTTGTAGAGTTTAGGGTTTGGGACGGGGGTTTCTTCTTTGCGATGTTTGATGTATGAATGGCTTATATTGGGGGACTTTTCTTCTGAAACCAGGTCGTGCTTAAGTTCTAGAGGTTTGGGTTTTCGTTGGGTATGCTATACTATAGACTATACACTGTAAAAATGGAGTAGCAAGGTATCAGCTCAACAAAAAATCAATTCTAGGTGGGTGTTGATCTTGCCTAGGCTGAGAATTGGGGGCCCCAAACAGTAGCATTGGTGAAAAGGAAGATTAGGCCAGTCAGCTGCTGCTGATTCATCAGCGCCACGCGTAGCTCCAATCGACTGTTGAGACCCCTGCGAAAGAGGGTGGCAATGGCTGGATTTGCGCTGAATGGAGCCTTCCTTTGCTGCGCAGCTTCTGCGGCGTGAGATGCTCATGGAGGTCATTCACACGCCGGAAATTTGGCATCCGGAGCGTTCTGCTCGATGTGCGACAAGGACCTCTGTCATGCTCTCAATGTGGTCGCGGAGGCCTAGACCCAAGAGTAGCCTAGGAATAAAAAGGGTGCCCTTTTTGGTTTAAAGGGGCTTATAAGGGAACCTGAACCCCCAAAAAGGCCTACTCTAGGTCCGAGAGGCGGTGGCTGGACCCCCTGGAAAAGTTGATGTCCCTAAGAATCGAACCCAGCTCTGGGACTTCGGGTCAGCCTTGGGACCTGATTGCATCATCAAGGGACTTGGGAACAAGTACCCAGACCCCCGGGAGGATCCAAAAAGTAGATCCCTTAATGAGGGTTCCTATAAAGTACCCTTAGTAGTATAGGGCCCCAAATTAGGGGATCTACTTTCTAGATCCTCCCGGGGGTCTGGGTATCTGTAGGGCATTATCTTGGCTGACTCCTGAGCCCCTGCAAAAAGTTAAACTTTTAGCCTTCTTAGTATAGTTCATGTAGAAACCCAAAAAGTTAAAGTCCTAAGAGTCAACCCGAAGAACGGCAAGTTATGGAACGGAAGATGATTCGATCCTAATTAGGGCTATCCTCGACTGAAAAAGGATACCTTGACCATTCTAGGCGCAAAGGTTGTCGTTAGAGGCGAAGGGATTGAGGAACCCTTAATCTTCAACCCTAAATCCCTAAACCCACAAACCCTAAATACTAAACCCCCCAACCCGAAGCCCTTAACCCTAAACCCCATACCCTAAGCCCTTAAATCTACAATTACCCCAAACCCTAACCCTTTTACCCCTTACCCTAAACCCTATACGCTAAGACTTGGCTGCCTGTGTTCATATGCTCGGGCTTCTGCCTGAAATCCAAACCTGGCTACCTTTTCCGCAAGCCTCCCTGTCAACCGACAACAGCGCCAAATGAACCCTAAACACTAAAGCACCCTAAACCCCAATTGCCCCCCTCACCACTACATCCATAGACTGGCAACTTAGACAACGACTCCACGTCAAGTTTCAATCAACCTCTGGTGACCCGAGCCGCACAGATGGTCATAGGAATCTGGGAATCCTTGCAAACGTAGGCGCTCTTATCGGTACCCTAAACCCTAGCACCAGGAGAAGCCTTACCCTAAACCCTAAACGCTAGTTTAAAAACCCTAAAGCCTACGAGTACGTCTAAAACCCTGAACCCTCTTTCTAGAACCCTAAACCCCACTTCCAAGACCCTCAACCCAAAACCTTAAGTCTAAAGCCCTAAACCCTAATTCTGAAACCCTGAACCCTACCTTCTACGCACACTCGGAGCAGAACCTGAAAAGGCCGTCTGAGGCCGGGGGAGCCTCTGGGTTCCCGGGGATGCCGAACTGCACCATGAAATTCGGCACCACCTAGGGCTCTTGGGTTTAGGGTTTAGGGTTTAGGGTCTAGGGTTCAGAGTTTAGGGTTTAGGGTTCAGGGTTTAGGGTTCAGAGTTTAGGGTTCAGGGTTTAGGGTTCAGAGTTTAGGGTTCAGGGTTTAGGGTTCGGGGTTTAGGGTTCAGAGTTTAGGGTTCAGGGCTTAGTGTGAAGTTCGGCACGACCTAATATAGGGGGCCTTGGTAATTAGATTTTTGGGGCCCATTGTACTATACTTATAAACAGGAACCCCTTAGAGGAAAGGCAATTATTAAGGCGCCTAATACGGCTCTTCAAGAGCTTTCAGGGTCGGAGTTTCAGGGTTTAAGGGTTGAGGGCAACACCTGGGACTCTTCAAGGGTTCCTCAAGAACTGACAAAACTTAGGGTTTAAAGAGGAGAAGGCTGAGGGCACCATTTAGGGTTCTTCAGGGGTGGAGGGCCCTAGGGTTTAGCTTTTCAGGCACCAGCTCGGGTTCTTCAAGGGTTCTGTGGCCACCTAGCCTTCTACAAAGGTTCTACAATGGCTCCTCTACAAGGTTTCAACAGTGGCTCAAGGTGTTCAGGGATCTCGGATTTAGGGTTTATGCGAAACTCGGCACCACCTGCCAACACAAGTAGAGTCGGCTTATCGATAACCAAAACAGGGGGTGTATCACCCCCAAATGGGAGTTTCCGAGAATAAGGGGTGCCGTATTTTGGGGTCCTCATAATGAGGATCCTGCCATTTAGGGAACTCTATTTGGGTCCTCTACTTTCGGAACCCCCAAATAGACTCGACCTGCATTAAGGAACCCCACTCCCTCATCAGGGTTATTGTAATAGGATCCCGATATTCGGGCGCTTGGTGGTACAGAAATCAAGGATTTTCGGTATGTCCCAAACCCTTAGCACCTGAACCCTTAAACCCTAGGACCATCCCAAGATCCTGAGTGCCTCAACTCTGAGCAATTGCCTACCCCAAAGCCGGCATGGCTTGGGGTGTTTCAAGGCTCTTCCAGGGCTACCTAGGCTTTCCACGTTTTTCTTGGTGCTTCGATCCTTAATTGTTCAATGGCTCGCTTCTCCAATTGCCAGTACCAGCGAAAAAAACAAAATTTGCTATCATAGACTCATAAAATAGACCAAATATATACGGCCAACAGGCTTAAAGTCCTCCGGCCCCAGTGGCCAATTAAGCAAGATACTGGGGATGTGTTTCGGTGCATCGGCAAGCAGCGCGACTGTCCTGACCCTGGCCCTGCCCCTGACCCTAAACCCTAAATCCTAAACCCTATAATCCCTGAATCCCAAATCCTAAACCCTAAATCCTAAACCCTAAATCCACACCCTAAACCCTAAATCCTAAACCCTAAATCCACACCCTAAACCCTAAACCCAACCCCTGAAGCTGGAGCTCTTTAGCGTTACCGGGAGCCCGGCACGGAAGAAGCGTGCTCCCGTCAACACTTCGCCGCTCTGGACCATGTCCTAATTGGGTTCGCTAGAAGGGTCTAGGCGGTTTCAGCTACTACGAGTAGTATAGGGGTTTTAATAGTTAGAATAGGGTTTTGGGGCCCATTATACTATACTTAAAATAAGGAACCGTTTATATGGACCCCTATATATTCTAGGATCACAAAGAAACGAAAGGTCCTCAATTAACAGTTGGAGCTGCGCAGAAAAAGCCAGTCTCAGCTGGGACGAAGCTCAGGCTGCGATTTGTTCAGTTAGGGTTCAGGGGTTTAAGGGTGTAGGTTATATGGGGGTTCAGGGGTTTAGGCCCGAGTTTACACTACGGGGGTTTTGGGGGATTAGGGTTTAGGGCTCAGATTCACTGCAACTACAATCACAGTAGTTGCAACGTAAACAGGCATTTGGTTCAGGCCTTCATGATTTAGATCGGGAACCTGAACCCACATCTCTGAAAGCCCTGTGTGATGCGATCTGTTGGCTCCAGCCCACACTCGGATAATGCAATGAAAATCAGAAAGCCCGCATGCCGAGGGGCTGCGTGGTCCTCAACCCTTAACCTCACTATAGGTCTCAGACTGACTAGCTATCGCGCACCCATGGTCCCTATATAACTCGGAATTCATGCTATCACATCCCCAAGACCCTATTCCAGCGATTAAGGCCCTTATCTTGCAGCCGCAACCCAAAGTGTTCAGGACACCCGAAGCTTCGCTGCGCCCCTTCCTGAACCCAAAACCCTGGAACCCTCATATAGAGGCCTGAATTATTTCCAATACTATTTCGGTGGCTTCCTTATTGTGTTTGTAGTATAATGGGCCCCAAAACCCTATTCTCACTATCAAGGCCCCTATACTCTATACCCTATAGAAGCCCTTATTAGAACCCTTGTGTACAGGACCCTATTAAACCCCGAGAGTCCTGGAAACGCTTGGCTCCCTCCGGAGCCCACTCCGGATGGACACGGACGCTGAAGCTGGCCTCGTCGCATTCCCAGCGAGCAGTGGCGATCCCAAACGCAACCCTGAGCCCGACCTTTTTGGGTTGTAATTTTGGGGCTCTGAAAAGTAGTTGTGAATAGGTACTTCTATAGGAACCAGGAGGGAAACTAAAAAGTTTCCCAAATTGCCACCTAGTTAAACCGTAAACTTTGACCCGAATCTAATCCATTCTACCCGGACCGCCCAAGTACCCTTGAGAGGGCTCTAAAATTAAGACTTAATTAGGGGCCAATCACTGCAGCCTAATCAAACCCATGCGGGTGTTGCTGGTGGCGGTGACTTTGGCGAAAGCAGCAGTGACCCTGGTGGCAACTATAACTATACTGGCCTGATGCGTCGGTGACGGTCGGTTGTGACTGTATTCGGTTGTGTCTACGGCTGTAATAACTGTGACTATTACGGCATACTGGAAGTAGCCACGACGACGACAACCGCCGCAATGGTTGCTTCTTGTCTTGGTCATTCGAAACTTGGTGGTTCTGGCGGTTAGTTCGTGTGCATTGGGAGGCGGGAGAGCCAAGCTGTTTCAGCTGTGGAATTCAACCTTATCCCCTAAACCGCGAAATCAGGCTGCCTAAGCCTCAAATTCTTATGCTCAGGTGCTGAAAGTCCAGATGTGATGAGGATCAGCTCTCTCGATGGTATGCTAGAAGCTGGCGCAGTGTTGTAGTAAACTGGTACGCGGTAGCATAGTAGATTGCCTTATGGTATAATTGCCTATAGAATGGTCTCGTATACCCTGAAAACATGAATACAGCCCAACAGACTCACTCAGAAACCTTCCTCAGGAGCCTTCTACCAAGACCCAAAACCTTCAATACCATAAACCTACCGCGAGCAGTCGCCCCTCAACCCCAAAATAACCCCAAACCTTGAAACCTTAAAGCCTTTAGCCCTAAATCCTTAAAGCCTTTACCTTGAAAGCCTTAATAAGCCTCATCCTCTTAAAGCCTAGACCTTTAAACCCCAACCCTAAACCCTAAACCCCAAACCCTAAAAAAAACCCAAACCCCAAGCCCCAAAGATTCATTTTCTTCAGCCGGCCTGGTCGCCGCCCTCCCGACCGTCCAGGTCAATGCTGAAGGTCGCCTCCCAAGGCCTCGGTCGCTAGGGCTTGAGGGGTTTATAGGCTTAGAGTTCAGGATTTCATATAGGGGCCTTGTAGAATCTTATAGAATAAGGAACCGCCAAAATAGTGTATAGGTAATTAATAAGGGGTTTAGGACCTACCTACCTAGAAACTCCAATACCCCTTAATTAAGGAATACTCCTTAAATTATAGTAGGATCCTTAATATGATTTAAGGATTATTCCCTTAATTAAGGGATATTGGAGTCTCTGGGTATAGTCCCCATTGTAGTTCCCTTTTTTGGTTATCCAATTTTATGGTTAGGACCCTATTATGGAGATTTTGGTTAACCAAAAAGAGGAACTACAATAGAGACTATAGGTAGGGTTTAGGGTTGAGGGTTTAGGAGTTTAGGGTGCAGGAGGAGTTCAGGGCTTTAATGGGTTTGTAGGGTTTAAAGGGTTTAGCTTGGTTGTTCGGCTTTAGGTGTTAAACGGTGGAAGATCTCATACGAAATCATTCCCTAAACTCCAACCCCCCTCACAACAATCAAAGAGCACTCTGAAGCCCTGAACCGTTAGACTCCTCAACAGAGAACCACAAAGACACAGGCACACACAATCACACACACACACACCAGCAAATCTCTGAAGTCCAAAAAAGCAGGAAATGGCCGGGTTCTTAACTCGGCGGCCCTAGGCCTAAACCCGTTGTAACCCCACCGCTCAAAGGACCTCCTAAAAGCACGCCTTACCGAAACCCTAAACCCTAAACCCTAAACCCTAAACCCTAAACCCTAAACCCTAAACCCTAAACCCTAAACCCTAAACCCTAAACCCTAAACCCTAAACCGAAACCCTCAAACCTGGAACGGAACCCTTCGGGTTTCCCTTTAAGGAGCCCTCAGGGGCCTCTTTGACTCCTTTGAAGAACCCTGAGCCTTTGAGGGTTACTCTACTTAAAGGATCATGGGACTTAGTAACTAGGGTTATAATTAGGGTAGCTATACTTATAACTACTTATAATATAACCCCAATTAAGGTACTTATAACCGTACTTGCTAAGTCCCATGATCCTCCAAGTAGGGTTCTACAAGGGGGGTTGGGTAAGGCTGCTATAGGATTCTAGAGTAGGGTCCCCGCCCCTTCATATCTTGGAGGGGAAACCTAAGGGCTTAGGGTTTACCTGAACCCTAAAGAACCTACCATTTTAAGGACTTGTATAAGGAAATCGGTTCTTCAGGGTTAAAAGGTAGGTTTAGGGATGTGTAAAAGAACCCCTTTCGAGGATCCCGGCTCGGAGGCATAGGCTACGCCGGCAACATCTGCGGATCGCGCTACCGCGAGGACCGCCGCGAGGAGCGCCATGCGCCTAGAGTTGTTCTGCATGTCTAAGGGCTTAGGGGTTGAGGGTTAAGGTTTTTTTGGGCAGTATAAGTGCAATCATAATCTGAACCATCCTCATACTCGAAATCATAGTCTCGTAGTCATACCCCTAGTAGTAACGAAACTCATACGTACTGACAGGGCTCATAAGGATGTGTGCAAAGGTGGGTTCTAGATAGTTTCCAGTGACGGGTCTTACGGTTGGAATTTAAAACTGCCTGACAAGGGTAGGGCAAGGGGAGCCTCTTTTTCAATTGACCATCTTGATTCAATATTGTGAAGGCACTCCGAGTGATAGCCTAAATGCCGCGAACCGAAACCCCACACTCTAAACCCCGACTTGCAAGTTTCGAGTGGTCTAGGGTAACTTGGGTTAAGGCGTCCAGGGTTCAGGGGACGTTTCGGCTAGGGTTAGCCCTGTTTCATCTAACAGTAAGCACATGTATAAGCATCATACCACATGTCCCACAGCTAGGGGCTCGGAACCTTAGATTGCACCCTGGACCCTGAACCGTAAACCTACGCTTAAGGTCTACAAGGGCTTATACTAATCCCCAAAGCCTAACCCTTTAGCCCAAGGTTTATTAGGGTTTAGGACTATCAGCACTCCCGCCTCCCCCCCTCCCCCGTCCAAGTACCTTTTGATAGAAGCCTTTTGGTCCTGAATAGTGGATACTTGGGCTCTAATATGGGGCAGGTACTATTCAAGTTTTACAGCTTCCCGACGGATGAGCTGGGAGCTTCCATTCTCAGATGATTTAGGGTTTCGGGTTTAGGGTCTACATTCCAGAAGCCTGACGAGTTAACTTGGAATGATGATTTCGTGTTTAGGGTCTCTCTCTCTCTCTCTCTCTCTCTCTCTCTCTCTCTCTCTCTCTCTATCGATCTATCTATCTGTCTATACATCTGTCTATCCATCCACCGATGTACATATTTACCTATCTGCCTGTCTGACTGCCTACCTACCTACCTAGCTACCTACCTATCTATCGATTCTTTTAGGAAACCCTGAACAAGGAACAATAAAATACTAATCATCCAAACAGAAGAACTTATCTTGAGATTCAATTCAAGCTTCGTCCACATGGCGGCGAGGGGTAAAACGTCAAGCGCGAAGGCCAAAAGACTTGGTTTACACTGCTAGCTTTGGAGCCGAACATGCAGTTGCTGAGCTATAGCCCTACAATGCCCTACACCCCGAAATCCCCCAAACTTTACAGGCCTATGTTCAAGATTTAAAATTTAAAGGCTTCTCACATAAAGTCTGTGAAGGTATACTCCATTCTTCACACCCCGCCCCACTACCCTCAATCAAAGCCCGTACACATATTTGTGCCTCTTAATGATGAATATGAGAAGCCCTTTGGAAGAACTTGGGGCAGGGTTGCACCCCCAAGAAGCTTCGACCTATTTCAGTGTACTGCTCACACCTGCAACTGCAACATAAGACCATGCGCATAGCTAGTTGCCCAAAACTGTATGTCGTGACGTGCCCTAGAACCCTACTGATAGGTTACATGGATCCTCCAGGGCATCGGAGGACCGTACATCCTAAACCTTTGGCCATATTTTAAAACCCAAAACCCTTAACCCAAACCTCAAACCTACACCCTACAAGCCCTATTGAAAGAGCGGCACTACATCTGAAACCCAGCGACTCCCAAACCCTCTCATTCAGGAGTACTTAAAGGTTCATGGGAATTAGTAACTAGGGTTATAAATAGGGTGACTATACTTCTAACTACTTATATCCCCAATTCAGGTACTTATAACTTTACCTACTAAGGCCCATGATCCTCCAAGGACACCTTGAATTAGTATTTTCAGGGATCAGGGATAAAAATGTACCCTGCAGGTTCATTTCAGATGTAGGGCGGGTATGTTTTGTGCCCTGGCAGGGAGACTTGGGACAGGTTCTGGTTAATCGTCAGAAATACTTCTGCCATTGTTGCGATATCTATCGTTCCTGCTCTGCTGTTGGCACTCCCCCCCACACCCACGGGTCCATGTCACATAACTTCAACGTTTAATACTCAGGTCTTTAGGGGTCCATATAGGTACAGTAAGGCCAGAGTATGCACTGCATAGGAACATGACCTTAAGGACTGTTCTCCGTCTTTGCATGACCACTAGCATCAGCGGTTGATGCCTCGGCAATCAGAGGCAAATAGGGCTTTACAGGAGTCGTAAACGCAGTGGGCACGAACAAAACTGGCGAGGGCGTAAGGGTACATACCGGCTGGACTCTGCCAAACAGGAAAAGTAAAGGACTACTCAGCCTGCAAGTCCAAATCTAGGATCCCCGATAACCCAGGAATAAAAAGGGTTCCCTTTATTGGTGTTGGGCAGATTTATTAAGTTATAAGGAACCTACGGCCACAAAATAGGAAAAAGGTCCCACGGGAGACCTAGTTTTAGTTTGGGGTTTAGGGGTTCAAGGTTCAGGGTTGGGAAACAGCTTCAAATATCTATAGCTGGGGTTGCAAATGCCCGAAATGGGGTTCTGTGAGCTACAACCCATAGAATATGTTCACTGTATGACTAGATGTCCCACTTGTTATCAGAGGCTCAGCATTGTGTTTTGGTCTTTCGCCAGCAGGTCTACTCACGCTCCAGTCTGATGCTGCTTTGAAAGTCTGCAGGAGACGTGACGCACACCAATCACCGGCGCGGCGCGACAAAGCAACCAGAGAAATCAGTGACATCTGGACATGGACATCAAAGTAGTTCGGAGTAATTACTAGACTAGTTTTGGAGACCTCATTATCATGCTTGAACCCGACACTAATCTAACCCGGTGTATAAGCTTGAAGTTCAGGGCTTAGGGTTGAGATAGGTTGAAGGTAGCGATTTTCCTGGGCTTCGATCGGCCAGTGTGCGATTGCGCTGGGGGGGCGCTCAGAACAGCATCGTGCACTGCTCTCTTTCACGTTGGGCCTGGGCGACTCGAGTTTGCTTCCTGAACTGAGGGGTAAATTCGCCTCGGCCCCGGCCGAAGCGGTCAGAGGTTCCTATTCGGATTCTCCTATTCCCCACCTCTTAATCCCCTCCCCCCGTCCCCCCTCCCCCCCCTCCTCCCTCCCCCCCCCCTTCCCCTTTCCCTCCCGCCCCTGCTCCGCTCGCTGACAGGTGCGAGCTTTCTGGAGTTTTCGACGACACGGGACTGCAATGTAGTATGCTTATGTGCGTCTCAGGCTTGTTTTAGACGCCCTTTCGTTCGGATAGGCGGAGTAACGTGGTTGAAAAGGCTGTGATGCTTCCCTAATCCAAGACGTCCACGAAATCCACAGCCTCAACGGCCCATACTTAAGGCATCCCGCCGCTTGCGAGAGTCTTGGTATCCAGTGTTTCGGAATGACGACACCAAAATTCGTACTGATACTACCACTACTAATACTAATCACAATCATCCTGCTTCGTGTTGCTATGAACATTACTTTTACTATAAGTGCGATTCCAACTGTTACTTTTTCCTGCAAGAGCTTGCTGCAGATAGTAGCCACTCGCCGCATGCGCGTACAGCCGGGCCGAGGCGGACGACGCGCAGCGTTTCAATTACACTTCAGGGTTTGGGGCGGGGCATTGAAGATTTAGGGCATCAAGGTTCTGGAATTGTTCCTTTCGGGTTTAAGGCTTAGGCTGCAGCGGCTAGCGTCCAGCACACACAGATTTGACTTTGACTTGCAAGGCGTCTAGCATACAGTTGCATAAAGGTTTTGCACGTTTTTGGTTTTTCGGGACGGGGGTATACTAGGTTCGACAGTATCCTTTTATCAATAAGAGTACTCTTGCTTATTCTTCATATTTTCTGCGGAGATCTCCCAACGTAGAACAAAAACAAGCAAACGAGGCTACCATTGGGGACCCGGAGGTCGAAAGGTCCCGGCCCGAGAGCAAGAACACACAAGATCGTCTATGGGGAAAGCATGCTAACCATTGGGGTTAAATATACAAGGATCATGGGTGCCCCCCAAAAGCAAAACAAAAGGTTCAAGGTTGCTTGCTCTTTACTAAGATATAGCCCCAAACTCTAAACCCTGCAACTTTACCCCCAAGGAGCAGGTCGGAATGGCCCTTCTGCCTGTTTTGAAACTGAACTGCTGTCACACGGTTATCCCCAACCCCTATCCTACGTATGCAAGCCCCTATATAAGATCCAACGCCGAACAATTTACCTGGTCCTGAGTGGGGAACATTCTCCATGTGCTGGTAGATAATGGTCACAGCCAGCCTCGACAAGCGATGGCTTAGGGTTAGGGTTTAGGATTGTGTAGTGCGCACATAATTTCAGGTTTAGTCTGTAAAGTTTATGGTGCTTTATAGTGTTTGGCAGGGGATCTATCTGTTTGGCTTATGAGATTGATGGTTTCATGGTGCTTATAGGGTTTCAAGGCGTGTTGGGTTCAAGGTGGTTGGGCCTTAGGGTTCGGCGTTGACAGAGCCAGGGTAATCGGGTCTTCTGTCCCGGATGTAGGTCAAAAAACCTGGAGGAGAACTTGCTGCATCACCGTGAAATACCCTACACGACGGGAATCCTGAGAGTACCTATAGTCTCCATTGTAGTTCCTTTCTATTTTGGTTAACCAAAAAAAGGAACGACAATGGAGACTACAGGTAATGCCGGCATTTCACAAGTTCAATACTCATTCAGCGCGCCGACGAATCGAACCCCCCTCCCCCCGCCCACCCCCTGCGACCCTAAACCCGACACCCCAAAGCTTACCCCAAGGGTCCGAAGGACCCAGTAGTAAGTTGCTTGGGTTTAGGATAGTAGTCATGTAGGTTCATACTTGGGAGAGTATATGATTATTAGGTACTTGGACCCTCAGGGTTATGACCGCCTTGAAACGGTTTTAGGGTATATTGTGCCAAAGGTATCGGGAATCAGAGGTGATATTGTATTCCTACGAATATTCCGATGCCGACATGTGACATGCCCTAAACACTGAACCCCAAACCCTCAACCCTAAAGCCCTAAACCCTCCACCCTAGAACGATCCCTCAAAAGGAACCCCAAGAAGATCCCTAGGACTCTGGACGAACCCAGAGACTCCCAAACCCCTTAATGAAGGAATCTACCCAAGAACCCTTGTAGATCCCTTTGAAATATCCGAGCCCCGAGCAAGATGCCGGTCCCCGACCCGATCGCGCCCAGAAAGTCGGCGACGATAGTTAACCTCGGGTGCCCAGAGACTCCAATATCCCTTAATAATTAAGGAATATTCCCTAAATCATATTAAGGATCCTACTATAGTTTAAGGTCTATTCCTTAATTAAGGGGTATTGGAGTCTCTAGGTGGGGTTTGGGTTCAGGGTTTAGTCTGCTTAGGGTTTAGAGGTTATGCAGCTTTAGGGTTTAGGCCGTCTTGGAATTCATTGAGGGGCTTTTGAGGGTTCCTGTAAAAGGGCTCGAGGGATCTTCTTTCTAAGGGTCCAAGGTTTAGGGTTTGGGTGGTAGCGTTGACCCCTCAACCACCGTAAACTCTAGTTTTTGAAGGACTTGTGTACAGACATAAAATCAACAAGGAGCCCCAAAGGGATCTTCAAGGGGTCTCCTGGGGGGGGGGGGGTCCATGTAAGGGATCTTGAGGATTCATCTTTCAGGGTTTTCTTCTGGGAGGGTCCGGGACCCTAGACCCTAACCCTAAACCCTACGGGACCTGCTACGTAGACCTCATGATTCTTCTGGGGGGTCTCAGACGTCCCAGTTTCCAGGCTCCCAAAACTAGTAGGAGTCTTAGGGTTGAAGGGATCTTTGGAGTTCCTTTGAGGGCTTTTGAGGGCGGCTCCAGTAAAAGGGTAGGGGTTTAGGGTTTAGGGTTCCTTTAAGGGCTTTTTAGGGCTCCTTTAAAAGGGCAAGGGTTTAGGGATTTAGGGTGCGAGGATGACGCTTGAGGGTTTTGGTTTGTGGGTTGAGCGTTGTGGTCTAATTTAGGAACCTGATGAGGAAACCTTGGGTCTTTGTTTGGGTTCCCTATATGAATCCTACTCACACTATATATTGGGGGTTATAAGGCCAGGGTTTCTTAATCAGGTCCCTGCATTATTCTGTTTAAGGGCCTGAAAAACATAACCAAGAATTCAAAAGGCATGTTGGTAAGCTTTCGTATTAGAGAGCTTCGGGTTTAAGTGTGTGTGAAGAGGATGTTTCCGAGGCTCCATAGGTTTCTACAGTGCTGCTTTGTTGTTATTTTGCTTTTGGGTTTTTAGGTTAAGGTCTGGTGTTAAGAGGCCTTTAACGTCTGGAGCTTAGCCAAACCTGTAAACCCTCATAAAATATTTACCCAGTAACCTCATAAGACGACAACCAGGCCCTCTACGGCCGATAGGCTTATGCTTTGAGGTTGCATCCAAGATGCATGCCGATGCACATCCCCCCAAAGGCGGCTGCAATGGGCACGTACCTCCCCAAACTGGCGCGCAGGTGCTGGCTGCCTAAGGCCCCTCTTTAAAGGGTACCATAAGGGTTCCTCTAAGGGATCTATAGGGTTTAGGGTTGGGGTTTAGGGTCTACTAGGGATCCAAAAACCTTCTGTTTTAGGGGTTACTTGGAGGCCCAGGGCACTTAGGGGTTGTAATTGGGGTAACTCCATTTAGTGGACTTATAACTCTAATTACTTAGAACCTACTACAATGCACTATAATACACCATAATCTACTATAAAATTCCATAAAACTAATATACTACATAACTCCACCTATAGCCTACTTACTAAGTCCCCTGGGCCTCTAAGATAGGGCTTTAAGGCTTCAGGCGCCAAGGGTGGAGATCCTGCAGCTCTGCCTCTCTACCAGAGAGCCTGGGGCACAGGGTGCCTTATGCCTACCTGGGGATCCCAAAAACCTACTGTTTTAGGGTTTAGGGTTTAGGGTGTAGGGTTTAGGGTGTAGGGTTTAGGGTTTTTATGCCTACCTGGGGAATCCAAAAACCTACTGTCTTAGGGGTTTAGGGTTTAGGGTGTAGGGTTTAGGGTGTAGGGTTTAGGGTTTAGGGTTTTTATGCCTACCTGGGGAATCCAAAAACCTACTGTTTTAGGGGTTTAGGGTTTAGGGTGTAGGGTTTAGGGTTTAGGGTTTTTATGCCTACCTGGGGAATCCAAAAACCTACTGTTTTAGGGGTTTAGGGTTTAGGGTGTAGGGTTTAGGGCTTAGGGTTTTTGTGCCTACCTGGGGATCCCAAAACCTACTGCTTTAGGGGTTTAGGGTTTAGGGTGTAGGGTTTAGGGTGTAGGGTTTAGGGTTTAGGGTTTTTATGCCTACCTGGGGATCCAAAAACCTACTGTTTTAGGGGGTTAGAACCTATAAATACAAGGTCATAACCTATTATTTTGTAGGGTTTGAGGATGCAGGTATGGCTAGGGCTAGGGCATCTCAGAGATAATTAGAGTGTTGACTGTAAGCTTGTGCGCGAAGCACATCCTATGCTCAAGACCAAGATGCAACTAAGCCTTCGAAGCAATCACAGCACGCGGTTTGGGCTTAGGGGCTGAGTACCCGACTCCAAAGAAAGCCTAACCGCTTCAATTTTTGTAGGACTATATAAATTATATAAAGCCCAAAAAGGTCAACGGCTACCTACTCAGCCACGAAGTGGGAGTTTCCGAAAATCGGGGACCCTAACATAGTACCCTAAATAGTCGGATCCTTATTATAAGGACCCCAAAATAAGGACCCCCCCCCCATTTTCGGAAACTATCAAGTGGATCTGACCTCACACCCAACTCCTCGGTGGGGCACAGGTTCAAGACGTGTAGGAGAGACTTCTCCCGGTAACCTTTGAACCTGTGGCATTGGGTTTAGGGTTTAGGGTTTAGGCCTTGGGCGTTGTGGGGCGAAAGCAGCAAAGATGCAGGTTGTGATGTCTGAGACAGATAGTAGGAAACAAAGTAAGAAAGAGAGAGCGAGAGAGAGCGAAAGAACGCCGCAACTATCACAAACCACAAGTTTTGTATGAAGAGAAAACGATGACAACACATAAAGATAGCCACAAAGTGAGGCCTGCGGCTTACAAGCGTCGCTTTGCGAGCACGTGTATGTATTCCCTATACAACCTACACCTGCGATCCTAAACCGGAAACCGTATACATGTTTACGAAGGTCTTAACGAATGTCACAACCCCTTACAGAACTTACAGAACTCAACCCAAATTCCTAATGCACCTAAGCCGTGAACCAGTCTTTCACTTGAGGCAGTACCTTAACCCTGAATAACTTACCTTCTTAGGGTTCTCTATTATGAATTCTTTATATAAGAACTTAAAAAGGTAGGTTATTCCGGGTTAAGGTAGGCCCTTCCACAGTTTCCACTTATAACCCTCAAACCCGAGATCGCTTCTCTGCGTCGGGTAACATACATGTATATACCGATAAACTTAGAGTTTCGGGTTTAGGGCCTAGGGTAGACGTGCACATAAAGATGAAGATAGAGAGGCAGGGCCGGATCGCAATATTTTGGAAAACACATGTCCTGTCGAGCCCCTTCTAGTCCCGATTCTGCTCAGGGGGTCTAGGGTTTAGGATTTAGGGTTTAGGGTTTGGTTCTATTTAACAAGGGGGTTTAGGGCTTAGGAAGCCTTTTCTGCATCATGGCCAACACACCCTTAGACATCCCGAGGCTGCCGCATGATTTGTCTATCTCTCAGCATCTTCGCGACGTCTCGCGAGGAAGAGCCACTAACCTGTTCGGCCGCTGGTTTGCTCTTTGTCTTGAAGGGGGGGGGGGTAGGGTTTAGAGTTTAGGGTTCAGGGGTTTAGGGTTTAGGGTCAGGGTTCAGGGCGTAGGGTGTAAGGTTTAGGGTGCCAAACCCTGTATGAAAAAGCAGGTTGTGGTAGCTTCAGTAGGTTGTTGGATCACCGGGCAACATAAGGGCCTCAATCATTACCCATACTACTTTGGGGGTTCGTTGCAGTAAAATATCCTCCGAAACCCTATTCTAATTTTGAACGCCCCTTTTGTAGCGTCGTGGCTTTAGGGGTTTAGTCTGGAGTTTCAGGGTGCAGGATTTGGAGCTCAAGGGTTCAGGCCTATTAGCGTGTCTCATTAAGGCTTACCTTAACCCTGAATAACCTACCTTTCCAGGGTTCCTTATTATGATTTCCTTATGTAAGTCCTTAAAAAAGTAGTTAGGTTATTGCGGCTTAAGGTAGGCTTTATTTAGGGTTCAGGAGTTCAGGGCTATCGGCTTTAGGGTTTAGGGCAAGGTTTTGTTTTTTAAGCTCCCTTTTAATGTCTGCCAGCATGTGACACACACCAAGGCCGTACACGACCAGGATTCACCTCAGGAAAAAACTCACCGGCTTCGGTCTAGGGAGATGGTAGGTTTTGCGTGGTAGCGCTTGCATATGGAGGTCTCGGATTTCAGCCGGTCAGACCGCGTGGGCTCGCTGACTCGGGGAGTTGCGGAAGAACCTGAACCCTTTGACCCGACCGAAAGCCTAAACCCAACCTTAACCCGGAATAACCTAGGTTATTCAGCGTTAAGGAAAGCCCTATAACTCCATAATTCGATAAACCCTAAACCCTCAATCCTGAATTCTGGCCCCTCCCACGATTAGCAACCCTCCAGATAAATAGTTGTCAAAACTATGGCCCATTGTTGGGGTACCCTAAATAATAGGTGCCGTACTTTTAATAGGGACCCCAAAAAGGGATCCTAATTCTGAGATTTAGGTGCCGTACTATAATAGGGACCCCCAAAAGGGAACCTAATTATGAGATTTAGGTGCCGTACTATAATAGGGACCCCCAAAAGGGAACCTAATTATGAGATTTAGGTGCCGTACTATAATAGGGACCCCAAAAGGGACCCTAATTCTGAGATTCAGGTGCCGTACTATAATAGGGACCCAAAAAGGGATCCTTATTATGACAACCCTCCATATAGTACCCTAAATAGTAAGATCCCTATTTTAAGGACCCCAAAATAAGGTACCCCGAATTTTCGGAAACTACCAACCCTAAACCCTAAACCCCTAATTTTGACAACCGCCCAGACTCATCGAGGCCTCTATGAAGTATTTGGAGAAGATCGCGCAGGAAAGGAGCCTCAGTCTGATATTGTGAACCTGTAGCCGAAAAGACCTATATACCTCTTTCAGGAACTATATACAGAAACCATAATAAGGAACCCTAAAAAGGTAGGTTTTTCAGGCTACAGGAAGGGTCTAGGATTTAGGGTTCCGGGTTTCGGGTTGAGGGATTAGGTTTCTTTTTTAAGGGTTTAGGGTTTAGGGTTCCGGGTTTAGGGATTAGGTTTCTTTTTAAGGGTTTAGGGTTCCGGGTTTCGAGACTAGGTTTCTTTTTTAAGGGTTTAGGGTTCCGGGTTTCGGGTTGAGGGATTAGGTTTTTTGTCTTTTAAGGGTTTAGGGTTCCGGGTTTCGGGTTTAGGCTTTAGGGTTTCGGAATGCTTCCGGCAAGTCGGTGCTAAAACATCCAGAGCCTTCCCTTTACCTGCACAGCCGAAAAAACTACCCTTCTAGGGTTCCTTATAGTGGTTTCTATAGATGAATGCTTAAACGGATAGGTCTTCTTGGGCCACATGTACGACTTAGGGTTTAGGGTTTGGTTTAGGTTTTTGCTGCTTTGCCGCTTGGCTGCTTTGCTCCTTAATATTTATTGTCATTATCATTATCCAGAGGGTCGTTTTGGAGATGGCCAAATGCCTTCAAACTCGGATTTTGGGAACCTAATTAACCTAGTTCCATATTGGTAGCTTGTATCAATGGACCCTTATCCTTTCAGTTTGGTGCACCCGTTCGAGTTGCACATCTTGCATGCTAAACCCAGGCGGCTTTCCGGTGGCCACTAGCTCCACAGTTGAGAATATCAAAAGCAGCACGAGCATCTTTAGGGTTTAGGGTTGGTCTGGCAGCAATATTGCCCATGCAGCTGTCACCCATCGGTTCAAGCAGCACCAAGAGATGTCACTGCCAATCTACGATGCGGCTCTGCTCAAACAAAAATCCATTAAGCATAACGAGCAGTGGGCTTTCGGGTGTTTAGGAGATTTGTGGGTTTGGGACCTAACTTGGGGCCTGGGTTTGGGGTTTAGGTTCAGGGTTCAGGGGTTCAGGGGTTAGGGGTTTAGGGTTTTTAGGGTCAGGTTTAGGATTTGAGGGTTGCCATGTCGACCAGCAAGAATTCACCGGGAGGTTCCAGCAGGCAGGCCAACTTGCATCTGATCGAGAATTCTATGGAACAGCCGGAAGAGAACCCTGAACACTAAACCCCTTTGTGTTTGCACCCATCAACCACAACATCTCACCACAAACGAACACCTTGGAACCGAAACGTCTCACACCGCACGTCCAATCTCGCCCTGAAGCGAGCCTAAACCGTGAGCCCTAGAACGGGGAAGCGTGCACAGCCCAGGCTTGCGACCCAACAGACTTCTACGGGGGTCAGAAGAATTCGCAATACCACCATACAGGGAACTCCAGAAAGTTGCAATATGGATTAATGGTAGGATCCCCTATAATTTACCTTAAAGGGGTTAGGATAATCATATTCCAACTTTCTGGCTTCTACTGTAAACCCTAACCATCCTGACCCCTAAACCCCACACCCAAACCCTAGATTGTAGTCACCTCTGAAACCCTAAACCCTACATTTTCCAATCCTCACTAGATTGTAATCGCTTTTAAACCCTGAACCCTACGCTTTCCATTGCTCACTAACTTTTCGAAAAGGGCAGAGCTTCCGGCACGAAGAGTATGTAGCAGAAGGCGTGGAGGGGATCGTCGATGATGTTGGCGAAGGTGCTGGGAGGGGAAATGTAGTAGGCGAGTCCTGTCCGGACATGACGGTTTAGGGAATCAAGAGGCGCTGGCTGGCGGGAGATCATGCATGAAACCTCCGCTTTTTGGCGTTTCCTGTTTAGGGTTTAGGCTTTAGCGAGGTGTGGGATTCAGTGTCAAGGCATTGTCGGTAGAGATGTGCAAGGTTAGTTAAAGGTTTCAGATCCTGATCTGACACACTCTACATTTGAATGGTTGTTGGGGGGGCACATTGTAATATGGGTATGGGCACATTGTAATATGGGTATGGGAAGGAGGCCTGAGCAATAGTACTGGGAACGGCTCAGGCCCCTGACAATGAACTGGTGTAGGTGCCCTCGAGAGGAACTGTACTCCCCCTCTCTCACGCTGCAATCCCGTATTCCTGCATCTTCATGGATTAAAGGGATAGGGACACCCGATACACAATACCTACATAGTGGCCTTGGGGCTTAGAGTTGAAATGCTTGGGCTTCAAAAGCTTGAACCCTAAACCTCCCGGAACAGGTTGAAACCCGACGTACGACGCACATCTTAGAAGCCCTATACCCTAAACCCTAGAGCCGTAAACCCTGAAAAACCCTAAATACCCTTAGAAATCCCTAACCCTAAACCCTAAAACACTAGACCCTGAAATGCCGGTCCTCCTATTTGGCCTAGGTTCTCTCAGGAACTACTGTTGATGATATACATCCTGCATTACCCATAATAAGGAATGTACCATAATTCCCAGAGTTTAGGGTCCTTAAGGTCATGCAGGATTCATATCATCAACCGTATGTCACGGAAGAGCAGAATCCATCCGGTCCTCCTATTGGTATGGACTCGCCGCCATAGTCTGTATCTTCCCACTGGCCCAGTAGGTTGACCAGCATGTTCGATTTGAACCTCGGTGCCGGGTTTAGGATACCAAGTTTGTTCCAGTCTAGCCGCTAGCCTCGGGCTCAGGGAGAGCATGTTTGAGGCGCATGGCACTGTATGGGGTTTAAAGCTCAGGTTGTGGGGTCTGGGCTGAATGGTATGAGAATTTGAGTGTAACGTCTGAGATTCTGTGAAGGCTTCGGTAGGTTGTAGAGGTGGATGAGCAAGGGAGGGAGACAGGGGAAAGTCCAAAAAGGTCCATATACAAAAGGGCTTTCATCCCACCTGCGCTCATTCCATCTTTTCATACGGGCGTGTGAAAAATTGGGAACGTTAACATAAACCCAACAGCTAGACCGTTGCCATCGGTACCCCTCAATCAGAGTGCCCGAATCTTAGGAACATCCCGATGTATGATCACATCACGATCTTCCGCAAGGCCCCCAAACCCGAAACCGAGACCCTCCCCAACACCCACAACCACCAAATCCCGAAACCCAGAACGCCGGGATCGCAGCCGCCGGTACAGCAGCTGGGAGAAGAAGTAGAGGTTAGAAACAAGAGCCTTGGAGACTTCCCGACTCCCAGAAGCTTAGGTTGGGGGTTTAGGGTTTAGGGCTTTGGGGGTTTACGGAGACTCCCAGAAGAGGGCGGGCTTGAAGGGCTTTGGGAGTTTAGGGATCCTTACAGTCTCGCCTTGTTTTTTTGTGGCGGTTCCCGAAACCCTAAAGCCTACTTGGAGGGGCAGTGACTTAAGAGTTCCTTTAGGGTTTCTATAAGGATTCAAAAAGGGTGCTAGTACTTAGAGGCCCAAGGGACTTAGTAAATAGGTTATAAGTAGAGTTATAAATACTCTAAATGGAGTTACCCCAACTATAACCCTATATACTTACAAACGACTTACTAAGTCCCCTGCCCCTCCAAGCAATCAGGGCTCGTATACATTGCTATTCTGGGAATAGGGGGTTTAGGGTCTATACACCACTATACTGCAACTAGCAGAGTCCATATGCACACTACTACCGAGGAATTAGGCCCACCAAAACTATGATTGGCATGGTCTTTTGGGTCTACTTATCAGTCTAATTCCATGTCGGTAGTATCTTTGGAGCCTCTGGGTCATAAGAAGGGTGGCCAGATGAGGAACTATCACTACCTGCCGTGTGAGTACCCCTAAACCTCAAAGACAAAGCGAAACCCTGAAGTCCCCTGAACCCTTCCTTCACTAGAAGCCCATTACAGGTGGGTAGTTCCTCTTCCATAGTACTCCCATAAGACCCCCTTTACCTTATAGGAGTGGTATGGGAGGCTTATGGGAAACTAACCACCTAATAACTACCCACCTGTAATGGGCTTCTATTCACTAGCCCCTAAACCCCTAAACCATAAACCCTAAACCCCAAACCCCTAAACCCCTAGACCCCTAATCCCCAAACCCGAAACACCACCAACACTCAACAGTGGTACCTAGCCCAAAGGATCCTCAGCAGCTTTTCTGGGAGATACTTACCCAAACCATAGTGGTTATTCCTATACTGTAGAAACCCTACTCTGTACTATGTAGGTACTTAGGACCCTGTGGGTAGGGCAATGAGGAAGAAGAGGACAAAAAGGGTAATACTCAGGAACCTAGTTCCCACTAGATGACCTGAAGGCCTGACGGACATTCATGGCGCTTAGGGTTCGTCACCCGGTCGAGGGATCAGGGTTGTCCAGGTTTTAGGGCTTAGAGCACTTAGGCAGTGTAGTAGGGCTTGGGGTTGTCTAAACAGCAACAAACATCTGCACAAAGATCCCCCAACCAAAAATCCTTGCTGAGACCGCGGCTGTTTGGAGGATGATGGAGATGTTGGAGGTGTAGAATAATCTGACCTGTGCTTCTTTAGGAAACCAGTGATGTCCCACGACTTTCAACATCTAGCTGCTAGCTTAACCTCAAATCATCCTTAGAAAGGTAAGTTTGGAGGCTTCATGTGGGACTTGGGTGTTAGAGTGTCCTCACGATCGTTATAAGACCCGAACACGTGAACCTGGAAGAGTCCCAAGGGGCTTAGGCCTTCGTTTAAAAATCTGGAGGTTAGGCTCTGATTTGCTTTAGGGTTTAGGGTTCAGGGTTTAGGGGTACATAGTCTACACTACACCGAAAACCTGAAACCAGGGAAGAGCTGTGGGACTGTTGCCACTGCTCATTCTCCAGCCACATTTGGAGGATCCACATGCGAAAATCGTGGCCCTTTTACGTAGAAAGAGCAACAATGTTCGATATCCGCCCTGATGGCAAACATGAGCAACAGTTCCTAAGGGGAGCACAGACACTGCTGTTCCTCCCATATTTTCCAAATTGTTTTCCTTCCCGAATCTCCGTACTACGACAGGCTTCACGCTCTTCTAGTTCTGAATGCTGTACTGATCAGTCGTGCCCACAGTCGCCTACCTATACACACTCAACTAAATAAAGACAAAACCGCCTTCCGATGATATCTAGTTTTTTTTGGGCGTCATTGTTCAGAAACGAGTTTGGGGTGGTTTGTAGGGTAATTTTCAGGAACTAGTAAGGGGAACACTGAAATGTCTTATTCCCACCCCCTGGCGCAGGTGTAATGCAGGACTGGGCCCTCGGGCAGGGTAGATGCCGCGGTGGCCGCGGATCTTGTGGAATTTGCAAGACAAATCCACCTCCCAAGGAAGGTATGAGTGCTTCGGGGCATGAAGGGCTGAGTTTACGGTTTCACTTGGCAAGGAAGGGTGCAACCGTTGGAACCTATACCCTGTTCAGTTCCTCCACAACGCAGAACCCCAAAATCCCCAAAGAGACAGGCTCCTGCGAGAAAAAGGACTGGTGAGTTTCAAAGACTGAGGCTCTGCAAAATTGTTGAAAGTTTAGGGATGACCTGTAGTCTCCAAGGTAGTCCTTTTTCTCAGCCACGCTGGTACTATAGGATCCTAACTGTGGAGACCATAAGTAGGCCCGTTTGTCTATCCGTGCATCTATCTCAATAGACTAGAGTTTTGGGATCCATCCTACTGAAACCATGTTGAGGAACACTATGGAAGGCTGTTTCTAATTGTTTAAACTCCCACACTATGCTGTAGATGCACACCATTAGTTCGCGGGTTTTGGCTTCTTAACATTCTGACTCGAGCATGTGGCTCTGAGCTTCTACTGGCATCTTGATCTTTATCACATGGCGCTGGGTGCGCGTGCCGTTAACTGTGAGCAGCCGCTTGCAGAGGCCTCATGGAATACTAGTACGATAGGTCTCTAGACCCCCATGCTGATGAAACGGTGGTGGGCAGTGTTTGTTCAGGTTTCATGGACTAGGATTTGCAAACCTACTCGTGCTACAATGAAGTCGAGGCCACTACTTGGAGGATCATGGGACTTAGTAAGTAAGGTTATAAGTACCTTAATTGGGGTCATAAGTAGTTATAAATACAGTTACCCTAGTTATAACCCTAGTTACTAAGTCCCATGATCCTTTAAGTACCTGTCGAAGGCAGAGTGGCGGGCAGACTGCGGGTCGAAGTGTGTCCGTTCGCATCACATCCGCGTGTTGAGCAGATAGGGCTGAAGGGTTACTGTTTAGGCTTTAGGGTAGCAGGCTTCTGACACAACTCTAAGCCCCTTAAACCCTACAAGTACAACCTGTTATGCAAGGCATTGGGGTAGTTCCGTTCGGGATCGGTCTGTCTGCACGGCCGTGGGCCGTGATCAGAAAGAGTGCTTCTACTGTCTTCTAGAGGATGATCGCCACATCCCATCAGCGACCAACACTCCGTGACCTCCGAAGACCTTGCTGCTCAGGACGCTGCTATGAACGATCTCAAAGTCTGGTGCAATGCGAGCGTGACATGGACCAGTCGAGCGCTGAGCTCCACATAGTGCGCCCGATGTACTGCCAACACCGGGACATGGCAGCAACAAAATGCTGAAAGTTGTTGCTGTCTTCCAGGAAGTCTCGTCTAGGGTTGTTGTAGGGGTTTCATAGAGGTTCTACAGGTTCTGCAATTCTATCAGCACTCTATAAGGAGTCCTGCCAACAACGAGTCGGTACGAAACCAAGCTCATCAAATAATGAGCGGAGGCCTGTAGAAACCCTCGTGAAAATAGACTACTGCCGCCTAAACCCTAGACGGCTAAACCTAAGGTGCCCTAGACCACTCGAAACTTGCAAGTTGGGGTTTGGAGAGGTTTCGGTTTGTGGCATCAAGGATAGGATTTAAGTGATCTTATTGTGTCATTGTACATGGCTGTAGGTAGACATTCAGACCTCTATGCTGCTGCCAATGTGCCCTGCTCATCCACTAATAGAGGTAAGCCTTTCAACCAGCTCCCCAACACAGATCCGTGCCTGAAAACCTTGGAAGTAGATAACAATGAAGAAGACAAAGAGTGTCGCTATGAGGTTGGTGATGTTGGGAGCCTCAGTACACGAATGCCGCTGCGCACTCACCAAGACTGCCCGACCTTAAATCTTGAAGCACCGCTACGTAGGAGCCTTGATCACTTGCGAAAGGTCTTGGAAACAACACACACAAATTCTAAGTTCAACTTCTGCTGTTTAGCTGGTCAAGCCTATCGTGCAGCTTACCATCACGCCTCAAACCCCCAAAACTCGCAAACCTACCACCGCGCCCACCTGGACTCTAAAGAACCAACCTTTTCAAGGGCTCATAGAATACGGACATCATAGCAAGGATCCCCACTAGGATAGGCTATCTAGGGTCTCGACAGTCTGTGTTACACCCCAACACACACCGGAAACTTCTATCTATCAATTGGAGGAACCTGACGACGCTCTGGTTACTAGGACCCGGTAGCCTAGAAAAAGGAAGAGGGCTACCTTTTTGGTGTTTGGTAGTTTCATCATAAGGAACCCAAGACCACAACAAGGGAACAAGGGTCCACTGGGAAACCTAGGTTACAAGTCCTTAATCGAAACTTGGATTAGCCTGATGCCGCAAACCGATGGATCGGGGTTCAGAGCGGGCTGGCTTCACAGCGCTTCGGGCTTCAAGGGTTTAGGGTCTTAGGATTTTAGGGTTTGGGGTTGCCAGGCTTTCGGTCAAGGGACAGGGAGATATCCGGAAACTTTGCCAACTGTAAGAACCCGATAAAATCCTTGAGACACCATGAAAAACAACCTCGTTCACAAAACGAAGCTCTAGTTATAGCCCACCAAGACTACACCGAGCCGTCATATTTAAGGTTGAGGGTTTAGGATTCGGATTTGGGGTTCACCCAAAACCAGGCCCAACGGTGCTGGGGTTCCGAGTTTGGGCTTTGAAGCTGGATTCCTGAATACTTAATATTGCTCCTGATGTTTGCGCACAGTCCTTACTGTTCAGACTTCTGTCGCTTGGTTATATTGCCATTACAAACCCTAAACCCTAAGCCCCAAACCCTAAACCCTAAAATCAAACTCAAAAGTCGCTAAGGAGAACCCGAAACGAGAACCCATAACACTACAACCCTACGCCAGATAGAATGTGGAGCCCTTGTAGACAACTTCAAGGAATACCTCTCAACCGAGCGGCAGTTTGTCGGAAGAATGCTTCCGACAGTGCTAACTTCTTGTCTGGTCTGGAGATCATTATGTGGAACCTGAGCTGACCCAGGGTTTGAGGGTTTTAGGGTCTACCTGGCCTACTTTAAGGTCATGGCATACCGTAGGTTTAGATTTGGCTTTGCGGGTATAGCTAGGGCTCATGATGCAGTTGGACGAGCTTGTGTCAGTTTAGGTTTTCAGGGTCGGGGCTAGGTGGGATGCGGGGGCAATGGGCAACACGTGGAGGAAGGAGACCAGCCCCTCACCCGCAGCCCTTCAAAACCCCCATGGGTTTGAGGATCTAGGGTTTTATGACGGCTTTAGCAGGTCTGTATAAAGAGCTGTAAAGCTTTATCATGAAGGCTCTAGAAGGGTTTGGCCCCAGTTGCAGAGCAATGATGGCGCCCTCGAACTCGGTGCCTTTCCTCGGTGGTCCAGTGCACACGCCAAAAGACTGTGCACTTCTACTTTCGCACCTTGCAAACACAAAAAAGCAAAGCTCCCAAGCCCTTGTACAACCCTGTAACAAGCTATACTCAACCCTAAATTACCCTAAACCCTACAGCCCCAATAGAAAATACTCTTGCGCATATTCAACTTCGAACTCAAGTGGCCCAGTGTTGATGGTCGTCGGACTGAAAGCCTCGACCACCAAAGCGGGAGACAGGTTTTGACGGATTGTATCTGGGGTTTTGAGGTTCTTGCGAGGTTTAGATGTTTGCGTCCTACAGCATGGAGTTTTCGAAGTTCATGCAGGGGGTTAGGGTTTATGGATTGATGGGTTTTGCATGGGTCTTTTCGGGGTGTAAGCAGTTTTGTAGGGTTTCGAAGGGTCTTACAGCGGTTTATGGATTCAGGGTTTGGAGTTTGTCGGGTTTCCGAACATGCCTACAAAGGTTTAAGGAGTGGGTTTTATGGCGTTTCCGAAGGCACCAGACAAGTCCATAAGATGGAATGCTACTTGATGATCGCCGACATGTATGTCGACGCCTTCGGCTGCCACTAGTACCACTCAGTGCCACCTGCAGGCAACACCGTCGTTGATGCAGTGTGAAATAGGGCCTTGATAATTGGAATAGGCTTTCGGATTTCGGGGTATTTTACACCACATACAACAAAGAGCCCCCCAAAATAGTGGAGCATGTACAATCTTCGCTTTGCTTTCGTTTTGTTGAAGGTTGCATCTTCATTCCCTGGCCATCCTGTCCCGCCTGCACCAGGCCTCTCCTCTCCAACTTGGGACGGCTCGCTAGAGCTTGCCCCAGCGCGTACTTGGAAGGGCAGGGGACTTAGTAAGTAGGTTATAAGTAGAGATATAAGTACCCTAAATGGAGTTACCCCAATTATAATCCTACTTACAAACGACTTACTAAGTCCCCTGCCCCTCCAAGTAGCTTTTGGAAGCTCCATTGTGGAAAGGAAAAGTTTGTGAGCAGCGCTTGGAGGCTTCCACCCACGCTGGCCGCCAGCGGCCTGATTCCAGGCTGGTGTCGTTAGTCTTCCGCGGCGTCAACACGGGACGAGCCTGCGACCAAAAACGCGCCATGTGCAATGCGATGTGCAAGTCGTCATTTTCATAGACGAAGTTCTCCTCGGGAAAATAATACGCCAGCGACATCCTCAAGTACTGAAACACGTGCAAACCAGGAAGAGCATCCCCCCGTCCCACACGGAGGGCGAATTTCCAGCAGACTTTGGGGCTTTCCTGCATGTTAAGACTCACCGTCACCCTGCCTGAACCTACCTTTTTTTAAGGTGCCTTTTTATATGATTTCTTTATATAAGTGCCTAAAAAGGGTAGGTTCTTCCGGGGTAGGGGCTAAGGCCAAGGGCTCCGGGGGGTTTCGGATGTAGTCCTGACTTCATGGAGATTCCATAAAAGCCCCACGGTTTAGGGTTTAGGGTTTAGGGTTTAGGGTTTAGGGTTTAGGGTTTAGTATCCCTACAAACCCGAAACCAAAGGCTTAAAACCTAGTGGTCCTACCTGAGTTGAGCTGGCCCCCCCCACCAAACTCATCATCGTCACCCCAAAGCACTGACACTGGACTGCAAGAACCCAGTACATGTCAGCAATACAACAATACATTTAACTTGAAGGGGATCAGATTCAGCATGTTAGGCCTAGGGTTCCCCAAACCCGAACGCTGCACAGGCCTTCCACACGATGGTCTCACAGATGTTCGTGGCAATGAAGAGAGAGATACCGGAGCCCAGTCCGTATCCCTGCAGGCATTTCTATGGTTTAGCGTTTAGCATTTGCGGGTTAGGGGTCTAGAGCATACAAGGGGTTCAGGGCTGCGAAACCTTAATAAAAGCCTCCAAATCCCTAAGCCCTGAATATGGAGGCCTTAATAATCAGAATAAGTTTTGGGTCCCATTATAGCATAATTATAATAAGGAACCCCAAAATAGTATAGGTAATTATTTAGGCCCCTATATTAGTAAGGGTTTAGGATTTCATCCACAGGAGCAGGTTCGTGGAGGGGATGAGGGGTTGAGATTTTCAGGCATTGCAGTCCTTAAGGACTGTTGGGCTGTTTAAAGGCTGCAAGATGCCGCAAGCATGTTTCATGAAAGCTTACCGGGCTTCGGGGTGCTATGGCATACCTAAGCATGTTCACGGCATCTCTGTAGAGCTTCATAGGAAGTTGCCGTAGGACTCCAACGTCTGTACTAGGGGACACTAGAAAATGGGGTTCTGAATTCCTGGCTAGAAGGCTATAAAGGTATTGCAGAGTTCTACGGTTTGTCTGTGGGTTTTGCAGGGCTTGCACAGGCTTCAGATTTTCTGCATGGGGTTTTATGGTGTGTTGCGGAGTGTTATGCCCCCTACGCGGGAATATGCCAGAAAATGCCGGAAGTCATTTCCTACATGAGTAGTTGTCTAAATTAGTAGGGTCACAAAGGCCCCTGCAAGGGACCCTAATTTAGAGTACTACCCACATAGCAAGGTAGATTCCTTACTGACTGGCCTGCCAGTATCCGGGCTTCTATAGTACAGCCGTCTGCATGGTAAAAGTATAAGAAGGAAGGCAAAGAAATAACATTTTTCGGCCCAGCTCCCTTCAGCCCGAAAGCAATCTTCGCGGCCTTCTGCAGCAGCTCATCTAACCTGGTCGGGTAATGCAGGATGTATATCATCAACCGTATGACACGAACTCCTGTGTATGTGCGATCCCAAGAATACGGAACTCTCTCACATAATTCTGCTTCAGGTTTGACCTGGGTTACAAATCCAACGGGTCGAAAGTACCTATATCGTACATGAATGCAGAGTTTCTACGAAAGGGAGCCTTAAAGGGACCCCTGCAGATACCTCAAAGGAAACACTTGAAGTATCCCGAGGACTGTACGTGGCCAAACCAATGATTATGCGCCGATTCTAGGGCAAGTCAGTCTAATATAGGGGCCATAATCTATGACCGGTGTAGCTTCAGAAATCCGAATCGGTACATTGAGACGCTCGGTGGGTTCGAGCCATAATTACGGGTCCGGCTTCCGGAGCCTAAATTAAGACCCTATAGTAGTCGATGTTCCCGAGTAAATCCTCCAACGATGAAACCCATGCACTGCCCATTCCCTACTTTTGAATCTGAACCAGTAAACCATCAACGAACAGTTATAGCAAACTGAACCCTCCCAAACCTCACTAAAACGCTGCTGAAGATCCTGTAAACCCTGCTCAAACCCTTCAAATGCAACTGCCCTGCAGCTAGAAGGCTCTCAGCTCAACTACAACTCCGTAAACCTTGCTAAACCCCTCCAAACCCCACTTGAGAAAACCTTAAACCCTGTAAACCGTATAATGCCCTACTAAAGCCCCGAACCCGAAACCCAGCAAAAGCCGCACCAAGCTCCCCTAACACTGGGCGTCCGGTCAGAATGGCGATGACTCCGGCAAAAAACAGCTGCCTCAGCAGTTCTTGCTAAGGGGGTTTAGGGTTAAAGAGCATCAGGTCTCATTTTGCGATGCCAGAGTAATCAGTAAGGAAGCCCTGTTTAGGGTTTAGGGTTGAGGGATTTCGAGCTTAAGGTCTCATTTTACGATGCCACAGTAAGGAAGCCCTAGTACTTACTATAACTCCCCACTATGATACCTTAGACGCAGACGCGATTCAGAAACTTCTGGGCCAGGGCGGTGGTTGGAATACACTATACCCGGAGGCTCCATAGTAGTTCCTTTATGTGGGTCATATACAGAATCCCAAAAAGGTAATCCCAAAAAGGACTACTATGGAGCCTATGGGTAATAACTAAGTTTCACGGTTTAGGTTGTTTTAGTTTAGGGTGTGTGTTTAGGGTTTAGGGTATTATGATATCATATACTGTCATGTTCTCTAGTTACCTGGATGTATATACTATACAGTCAGCTGGTGTAACATGACGCACTGCAAGTTCAATAGCGTACATGGCCCACAGGGTTTTACTAGACCTGATGGTGTAATCATTGGTGTCTCAAGCTTTACACAGATCTACCACGCCCTCACCGGCAGAACACCTGGAAACAAACAACTTGTCAACAAGGCCTACCCTAATCTTCTGGCAGCCCCAAATGCAACCCACACGAAGGGTACGGCAGCTGAAGCTCTACACGCCGAACTCGCAACCCTAAACCCAGCTTAATCCCTTATAGGAACCCTTAAACCCCAAACCCTAAACTGGCCTTAAACGCTTTTCTTCAACAACCAGGCCCCCAAAAGCTCACTTTCTAAGATAGAGCTAACATATAAGGCCAAAAAATTTGAAGTTCCCCCGTTCACTATCTAAGCAAAGGAAGCCGAAGACTCTAAACCCTAAACCCTTATCGGAACCCTTAAACCCAAAACCCTAAACCGGCCTTAAAAGAAAGCCGAAGACTCCATGAGAACCCTGCGACGCCAGGGACCCGGACGCGATGATCAGCGCAGAGGTGCCCATCCCAAGAGCTCGCCTAAGGGGCGCTCGTGAGTTGCTCTATGGGGTTTAGGGTTTATAGGGGTCTAGGGTTTACCGGTTTTGCGGTTTAGGGCTTAGGGGTTTAGGGGTTTAGGGGTTTAGGGGTTTAGGGGTTTAGGGGTTTAGGGGTTAGGGTTTAGGGGTTTAAGGTTTAGGGGTTTAGGGGTTTAGGGTTTAGGGTTTAGGGGTTTAGGGATTAGGGTTCAGGGTTTAGGGTTTAGGAACCTAGAAGATTAAGAAACCCTGGCCCTATAACCCCCCAATAGGAGGATTCATATACGGAACCCTAATAAAGACCCGGGGTTTGGCAATCAGGTTCCTACATCACCCCTTGCTAGAGCCGAAGAGCCCATTGATATTATGGGCGATGAAGCCTCTATGAAAGGCTACTTGGGGGGGGGGGGGGCTGCTGGTAGAGGATACGGGCCACGGTTTAGGGTTTAGGGTTTTGAGAGACTTTTCATGTCTACGTTCTTTTTTTTAGTTTGAGGTTTATAGGGTCTCGAGATGATCGAGAAGGCTTCCGTAGCGTTTCTACAGATATTTTTCCTAGACCCCGGAAGCTAAGAGCAAACAGCTCTACACATCTCATGCTAGGATGCCCAGTAACCTAGGAATCAGAAGGGCTCCCTTCTTGGTATTGGGTAACTTTGTAAAGAATCTAGGACTACAAAAAGGGGAAAAGGGTACTATTCGGCATCCTAGTATACACATCTTATGTAAGCATCCGTGAACTTGTCTTTTCAGATCATGTACACCACAAAATACAAACCTAAAATCACTACCGTCCCGAAAGCAAGCAATTGCCAACTTGTCAGGCTTTCCTGGACCCTGGCAGAGCCTCAGTACAGCCTGTAACACTCTGGCAAATCCCAAAAAACCCAAGTAAGTGGTTAGTGCTCTGCATTGGTAGGGTACCCAAACGCCCAAACCTTAAGCGACTGTTGCCAGGGCCGGTGCGGATCGCCGTACATCCCGCTGACGACATAGGCGAACGCCTGGAGGCTGCATAATTGTACCCGATGCCTCCAGTCCCTACTAACCAAAGGTAAACCTAAGGGGCCCATGTACCCCAAATAGTAAATACTTTGGCCCCAGAGTGCCTATGTAGTGACTGCTTTAAGGCCGACATATAGACTATTTGGGCACATGGACCCTTAGGGCTAGAGTGCGTAGAGAAGCTGCGGCTTAGGTTTAGGGTTTACCGTTGAAGTTTCAGGTTTTGAAGATTTTGGGGTTTTTAAGAATTGGATTGTTTTGGGGCTTTGGTCTTCGGACTTGGTCGGGATTGGTGCTTCAGGCAAACCTAAAGTAGCCAGCGTACCTCTATAGGAGGAATAGCAATGGATATGCCCCTAAACTCGTTTGAGGTATCTTGGCTAATTCAGATATATACTTCAGTTTTGGAAGAGTTGTGGTTCCAGGGTTCACCCAACTTTTGGGGTAGGGTTGAAGGTCAGCCAACACACAGCATCCCGATTGCGTTGGTGCAATGTCTCGAACTGAAAACGGATCCAAGTACTCCTGCGATGAAGCCGAAGACCATTCAGGGTTTACCTAAACCCAAAACAACTTACCTGTTTAAGGACTTCATAGAAGGAAATCATAATAAGGACCCCCAAAAAGGTAGGCTATTCAGGGTTGAGGTAGGGTTTCGGGCTTAGGGCCAGAGGCTCTCGAACCAAAAGCCAGTGCGTTTCCTAAGAGCGCCCAGCAAGAAGACAAGGTAGGAAACGAGGAGGCTGAACCCTATAAACCCCAAACCAGGAGCCACTAACCACAAGCGATCTCGGCACCCAAGGAAACCCAGCGCGTCCACTTGACGTGATCGGCTTTCAGCTCCATCTCGTTCGCCTGTGCTTTGCTGAACCTGTCCTGGTATTGCCAATTCGTAGTATCTGAGGCTTGCAGCTCTGGCAGCAGATTTTGAACATCCTAAGACGCGAGTGAACCACACAAATGAAAATAAAAGCTTGAACCTCAGATTACTACTCAGCTTTCAAAGACTGTACAAAGAACCCAAAAGGTTGAAAGGTAAGGGTGCTGGAGAACTCAGAAACGGCAAGAGCGAGATATAACAGGCCTTGTTCCTGATTGGCTTTTCCCTGCATGACCTTGATAAGTTCTTGATGCAGCTTCATGCCTGCACACAAAAAGCTTCCACCCTCAGAAACATTCGCAATCTCCGCAGTACGTCGTACACCCACAAACCAAACCCTATAAGCTGTGCAGCGCACAACACTTTTTCAATCCTTACCCATCTCGAACCGACTAACCCGAACCGTATCCCCGAACCCAGAACTCTCCAGTTAGCCTCTTCAATCAACACTAAACTCTAAACTCGAAACCCGAAGCCCTGCACCCTACACCCGGAGAAATCGCTGGGTGCTCTGCCTCTCCCAGCGTGATCAGCAACCCAAACCTGTTCAAAAGACTGGGAATCTTGGGTGATTGATTATGAACCACCAATAATGTGTTTTGTTACTTGTAATTAGAAAATATAGTTACCTTAAACTATCAAAACCTAATTTTTTGTGGGTTCTTATTCTAGACCTTATTATAGAGGTCATAGGGACCCTACAGCGAGTGAGTTTTGGTAGGTTAACGTCCTCATTATTGCGTGCACGAGCTCTGGGTGCAGGTCTTGGGGTGTAAGGTTAAAGGCTTAGACGGGTGTAGGCTTTAGAACTTAGGGGGTTGGCTCCGGTTGGCTCCGGTTTGTTGGTTTGAGGGCTGTAGGGTGTTTAGAGCCATCACCCTAAACACTAAACCCTAAAGCCCTGCACCCCAAACCATAAAATCCCGAACCCTGAAGGGCTCCACGCTGCAGGCTTTCAGTGCAGTTCAATCATCATCATGGCTAGTGTTAGTAGTGTTGACTTAACATAACTATAGCAGTCGTGACTAAGTCTAGTGTGTTATCATCAACAGCAGCATAACCTGCTGAAGCCCGAAAACCACATGTCACCACAATCAGAACCCTTACAGCACCTACTAATTTTGAGCCTTGGAATATCTGAAATTCTGGTGAGCCAGAAGACTTTGCCGGGCCCCCTTGCAACCCAGTCCCAAGCCTCCACCCGAAAAAACCTGACCCTCTAGAACCTAAATGCTACACCCCACCCAACCCTACATTACCTAGAGGCTCATCCCCTACCTCTTTTTTAGGGCGCCTACTTTTTAAGATAACAGATCCTAACCATAAAACTAGGTATCCGAAAAAAAGGGGTAGGGTATGAGCCTCTAGGTCGACTCTAGGTAGAGCAATAAAGTCATAATCACCACGAAAGCTACACTTGCCCAACCGTAAAACTGGGTGCCCCCGCAGCTTCTGAGCGGCAAAGAACAGGTTGCGGTCTTCTTTTAAGCTCCTGGCAAGCTCCGTGCGATCATGCTTCTAGGGCTTAGGGTCTTCGGTCGGCGGGTTGGGATTTAGGCCCTAAACCCTAAACCGTAGAGTTTAGGGGTCAGGGTGATGTATTTTCATGCATGTTGTATTACCCCAAGATACCCCAAGAGGCTATACAGTATAACTAGGCCGTAAGCATGTGTGTACGTGTGTGCATATATGTATATTGTGTATATATATAAGGAGTCGGCAAGACAACTAGGATATCAGGCCAGGGTAACTAGGATACCGACTTGGAGAGATTATGAGCTATTCCTTCCAGCCTTTGCAACCAACATCCCTTGTTTTTTCTTTGAGAACTTCAAGGCCTATATCTCCCACTACAAGGCCTGTAGGACTGTGTGACTGTTTGTTACATTACATTATTACGAGCCTACACGAGAGGGGGCCTTACGACACGACGACGACGACGAAAACGACGGCTACACTGACGACACGAGGAACCTGGAACCCCAAGGCTGTAGGACTGTAGGACTGTGTGACTGTACGAGGAACCTGGAACCCCAAGGCCTGTAGGACTGTGTGACTGTACGAGGAACCTGGAACCCCAAGGCCTGTAGGACTGTGTGACTGTTTGTTACATTATTACGAGCCTACACGAGAGGGGGGCCTTTACGACACGACGACGATGAGACTGTTTGTTAAAAGAGGTCTTTTCATCACATCAGGCTTCCCTGGTTGTTGTCTGTCAGTGCAAAATAATTTCGAACAACAGTCTTCAGCCAGTCATGTAGTCCACAGTTCACAACCTGTTGTTGCTGTAGGATTGTGGGACTGTAGGAATGCAGGACTGTGGACTGTAAGACTGAAGGCCTGCCAGACTGAATTAGTTCAGCCACTCTGCATAGAGGCGGGACCTGGTTTTGTAGACATACCACATCTTTTCCCACCTTCTCTTTGAAAACTCCATCCTCGGTGTCACTGGTGGGTCCCCTGGTGGAGTCGACTGTGAGTCACAGTGCATGAGGAGCACCTTGGAGCGAAAGTACACGTCTGTGGCCTGAAACTGCTCAACCAGTCGTATGCGCTTTGCCAGTCGTGTTGCCATTTTGTCAGATACCCCCTCCTCTTGAGAATCTGTCTCCATGGCACTGAATAGCAGTGGAACTGAGGACCGGGAGACAAGCTAGTGTGCTATGAGCAGAAAGCAGCAGAAACAGTACAATATGTACAGGTCCATGTGCAGTCTACCAGTCTTGCAGTCCAACTATCATGATACAGGCTACCCAGTCTGCTATTTTGTGGTAGTAGATGGACTGTGAGACTGTGAGACTGCACTGCCCGAAGACTCCTTGCAACATACGCAGACCACAACTGTCATACTTTTGAGATCTTGTCTCATGAGACTTGTAGTCATTGTGCAGTGGAGTTTTTCAGTCTTGCAGTTGAAAAGTCTGGTTCAACATATTGATTCTCTAGGACTGTAGAGGACTGCAAGACTGACTGTACTCCATGCACACTGCACAAGACAGTCAGTCTGTGTGCATGTGGCTATTGTACATGGGTCCCAAATACAGTTCAAAGTCCTTGGGCCCACAAGTGTGAACCTCCTCTTCAGCAGTCAGTCTGGCAGTGCAAAACCAACACAAACAAAACACACAACAGCTTGTTCTCAATCTTGGGACTGTAGACTGTGGGACTGCCAGACTGTGAGACTGCAGAAGGAAGTAATCAGTCCTGCATGCACTGGGCATACTCACGTAGTCTGGTCTTGAAGACAAAAAACTGTTTCTCCCAATCTCTCTTTGACATGTCCTCAATATCTCGTGGTGTCATCGGAGGACTGGGGAGACCAGGTCCAGACTTCTTGTTGTTCGAGTTCATATTGTTCGAGTTCATGTTGCCATCATTCTCTTTGGCAGCTATTTTGGCCACATTCGCTTTGGCGAGGTGATACATGTCGGTCTGCTTGAGATTGTTGAGAACTCTGCGTCTCTTGGACACCCTCTCACAGTATGTGAGTACCTTGCTGTCAAAAGGTACATCTCCGTCCATTGCGCCAGGGACTGTGAGACAGTGGGATAGTCTGAAGTCAGAAGCCAAAAAAACTGCTGGAAGGAATATATTCAGGGCCAGGTAAGTTTCTACACCTATAAGGTGTCAGTGTTAGGCAGGCCCCCAGTCCAGAATGTAGTCTCTTCAGGTGCAGGTCCACAGTCCCACTGTCCACACTGTCGACAGTGAGACTGTGGAACTGCATATGAAGTCCAGAACACCCAGCCTCTTTAAAACATACCTTCCAAGCCCACTCTGCCCCTCTACATCGGCGCTGCTGGTGCCGCTGCAGCAGCCGCTGTGCCCTGGTGCCCAGCATCTTGGACATCTTCCACGAGGCAGACCTGGGCAATCAGGTTTTTTCAGGGTTTTTGGAGCCTTATCAAACAAAGGAGGTCGACACGGCCTTGTCTTGAAAGTCTGGGTTTTTGGGTTTGTAGGGCTGTAGGACTGAGGGTTTAGGGGTTTTGGAGCTTCATAAAGAGGCTGACACAGCCTTGTCTTGAAAGGCTTTTTAGGACTGTAGGACTGTAGGCCTGAGGGTTAGGTTAGATTTTAGAGTAGTTGCAACCCTCTCTCCTGAAGGAGCCTTCTCCAAACCAAAGGCCGACAGAGCCTTGTCTCCAAATTCTTTAAACCCTAAACCCTAAACCCTTAAACGCTAGAGGGGTCCTTTACGACACGACGACGACGACCACGATACCAGACGAGAGCCAGAACCCCAGGGCCCAACCCTTAAATTCTAATAACTCTACACCCTAAATCTTTTAAAAGTAAACATGAGCTTGCAGCTCAGTGGGCTGCAAGACTGTGGCACTGACAGTGCAGCTACAACTGACAGTCAGTGCAAGAGTCAGTTTTCTCCGATGCGCCACATCTCTGTCTGGCTGTGTTAGCCGAGCTGACAAAACTGAGCTGGCAAAATCAGTCGAGGAACGACTATTTGTCGGGACTCAACTGCAGCTGCACCTACAAGCTCTACGTGTGCAGACAGGCCCACAGTCTAACAGACCAACAGCAATAATGATTCATATGACTGACTGTGACTGTAGGACTGTAGGACTGTAGGACTGTCTGGATCTTGCATCTACATCAGTGCAATGACATCCTTTGGAAGCTTGACTGTATCTTTCATACAAACACTGGGGTACATGCCCTTCAGCTTGTTGGCCTGGTCATCATACTCAAGGGCAAAGCAAATCTGGACCTGAGTAAGCTGGGACAGTACCACATAACTGGACAGCTTTGCAAAAGAGATCTCCTGCGGCGGGAAGGGACTGCTGCTATCCTCGCCTGGCTCTTCAATTGTACATTTGAGGCATGCCGGTTCCAAGGCCTTGACTGTCCACACAACATCTGTCCCCGTAGTCTCACTTTCACAACTGTGGAGGTACAACCCCACTTTTGGCAATCCTGCCATTGACATGGCATTGAGGATCCCCCCCAAGGCAGCCGGCTTCTCTGCATACTTCTGGAGCGCTGCTGGCAATGTGCTGCCATTCTTGGCCTTGAGCAAGACTGCCGACTCTGCTGTGAGACTGTAGGCAATGATTGAATCAGAGCCTTCACTCAGCAAAGATTTGGCTTCATCTCCTCGCTTGAACCTGCCATGGACCACAAACATTTGGCCCTCCAGGTTCGAGTCTGTCAGGCCCTTGACATAGAGCTTTCCATCCTTGGACACAGCAAACTGATATGCTGTGATGCCAGGCGGCTGGCACCTGCCCATGTCTGGACTGATGGACTGTAGGACTGAAGACAGTGTCGATGATGCCCGGCTCGAGGTGTCCAACCTTGGAGATCTACAAATCAACATATCTGTTTTGAATGTTTACAAAAAAGACTAAGCCCCAGGAAAAACTATGTGACAAATCAGAATGCCATCTAAGAAACTCCTGGACTGAAACATCTGCATCACGCTTCGCACGGATAGTCCCTGAAGGGTTGAACTCATCATTGTGCTTCTTCAGAATGTCAGGCCACGACAGTCCCTTCCATACCTCTGTCTCAGGCAGAGT